TTCCAGCCGGATTTCACTGTAGACTCATGCAGAGCATGATCCAGACAACGTTTCAGTATCAGGCGCACCTGCCGATTTTGAGTCACGGAAGAACGATTCTACACTGATTTGGACGAAGTTTTGTATCGTGCGGCTTCGGATTCCCGCTCATTTTGCTTAGGCCGCTTCTTTCGCAAGATAAGGAGTCGCTGCCCGACTTACTAGTTTTGTCGATCAGTGGTTGTCCTCGTACGGCACGAAGGCCCACGTTCATTGTTGAGTTTGCACCCGCGCAGCTCATGACAGAAGCATACCAATCAGTATGTCAGTTCCTCTGTCGTGCACTTCTCCTGACCAATGGAGTTCGCTTCGAATGTGTAACATGTCCGCATCTAGGCGTGAACGTTACATAGGTCATTCATTCCGAACGGAATCCACAGGTTTGGCATTGTTGGAGATATGAGGCGCTTTTTAGAGCATTGGCATGCACGATGCGCGTCTGTTGACCATCCTCTGGTATCTAGACCACGTCCTCGTTCTTTGATTTCCATCATGCTGAAACCTTCGGTACGCTGGGGCAGTCTGAATCACTGTTCTGACCATACGGCCTGTTAAAGGATAACGGCATTCTCCCACATTTGCATAGATTCCATGCAGTATTCACTGGCTCGCTGGAATCTGATTTGCTTCAACGCTGAGTTGAAGGGACTTACACGCTGCCCGCAATTTAGCGCCATCACACTGATCCATTCTAATTGACACTACAGGCCAACGCCCTTGTATGTGTTGGGAGAGGCGTCCTTTGATTAGAGGATGACTGCCGTTTCAGTGCACCGCAAGTATGAACTTTGCTCCCCGGCTACATTTGTCGCCGGATTCCATTTGGAATGCCATACGGTAATCACGCTCCCGCCGATTACAAGCTATGTGGCTTGCATGTTAAGCTGAAGCATAGAACCGTGTACATGTGTAGGAGGTGGAAGGTTGAGAAGTCGTCCTCTCACTCGCATACAGGGACCCAATTCCAGATGCAGAAGCGTCGCAGTGAAGGTGGTGAGGTGCACCAATTGAACTCGGACCGGCAACCCATTTACTCTTTACTGAGCAGACACTGCCATTAACATGCCACTACAACACGATTGTCGCATCATGGGCCTGCCTTATCTCGCCAACTTGCGGTACCAAGACACGGGGATTCGTGCTGACATGCGGAGCTCGCCGCTTTGCCTTCCCTTATGAAGTTGTCCCTTAACGCGAATCGCTTTCGTTCACCCACTTTCGCATCTCAGGAACATTTCACCCTCGATCCGTAAGACAAAGCAAGGTCCACGATCAAGGTGAAGATGCGACCATTTCATATTTTGGGCCCTGCTTCGCCGTTTGAATGCGAAAGAAGTGCATGTCGAAGGTGAGGATGTATTCAACGTTCGATACGTTTCTGGCAACTTGATGTTTTGCGATCGCCGCGCTAAACCCCATTGGTGCGTTCCGTCCTTCGAGGGGGCCTCACGTCAACCAAAGCTGGTTATTCCGGGCTATGGCCTTTAGTCATGACAGTTTCGGGTCCCTTGAGTCGATGAAGGCGCGCAGGCTCACAGGTGATTAAGCTTCAAGCTTCAAGGCTGACTTCAATCATTGACAGGGTGCCATAACTGCGTTTCTAAGTGAAAGCTCAAGACAACGCGCTGGCAAGAAAATGACGTAATCATTTCACAGGATAATTTGCAAATGGCTGACCGCCATATGCACGGAACACCTCGACTTCACACAATCATTCATTTTGAATGGATGATCCCCACGCATATCGTCCCAGCCCACGAAGAACACCGGCTCTGCTGCCAAGGTCGAACGTTTTAGCAGTTCCGAAAATCAGGTACTCCGAAGCATCGGCATCTCCCCATCGAATAATCTGTATCGGTGTCATCGCACCACTCTCATGGTTGGGATGATCCGAGGCTCTCACAGCTTCCTATGATAAATACATCGGATACTGGGCGAACAACGACGGAAGGCGGACACTCGGACCTCTACATGTAAGCACCATTGGTGGACATGTCCGCCGAAGATGCAATAGAGCGAGCATTAACATATACATCTGCAGCTAGATCTTCTCTCAAAATTCACTCGCTAATGTCATCGTCGTCGGCCTTGGGAAAAGGTTTTGCCCTCCATCTCGAAGGTGCCCCTGAAGTCAGCATGGCGCAACCCATGAGGCCGCCATTTAAAATGAAGGCAGACTCATTCGAAGTCTTCAGTCTGGCTTCCTGTATTCCTCATAGCCGCAATGCCAGCGAAACTCCCTAGCTACTCCAACCCTGACTCCAATGCAGTCGCTATCCTCGGTACGTCTTGCATTCGCCCTTTATATTTCTCTTATTCCGCTCACATCACATTCATTGAAGGCATCTCTATCTCTGCGCCTGCCAATGATGCGCATGGCCTTGATGCTGAAACATGCTACGAGTTTCGCAAGAGTGTCAGCATCAACACTGTGCCTTCCGTCTGCTGTAACGTCGTAGCGCACCATGATATAACCCCTGCAAAGGCCCACACTGTATATGGTTGCTTTTTCATGCGCTGACGGTCAACTGGACTGACAGTCTCTCTGCAGAAGACTAGGTTTCCTCGCGGACTTTACAATCAAGACCTGCAGGAATTAGGTGTTACTCCTATGGAGTACCCTCATGTTCCCGTCATGGAAGTCATCTTGTGAGATAACGAATCGAATTTCGTTATGCAAACGCATGCTTATGATGTCATTTCAGGCTCACTCGAATATTCGGTGCTTTGGAACACAGCGGTGTGGAATATCGCGGCACGAGAACTGGTGTATATGTCGAATGCAGTGCGTATTGTGTATTCACTACCATACTGGTCGTCCACATGCACTCTCCACAGTTCGAGGAAACATGATCCTTGAGATGGACATTACGCAGGCTGGAGGTCAGTCGCATCACACCTGCAGTGCTGCGATTTGCTGAATTGCATGTATAGCTTGCTGCACAACGGGTGTATGGCTGTCCAATGCTGTAAATCACATCAAATGCGCTTTAGATCTTTTGGGACCATCCTTCACGCTAGATACTGCTTTCTCTCCACGCCAAAGTGCTACGCAACTGGCTGTTGAAGCAATCGCAGACGGACAGTGCTCCCAAGCTGTTGTCGCGAGCATCGCTTCCACTTTGAGTTCTATTGATGAGGTCAATGGCTCCGTTCACGGCAATGCTGGTGCGCGTCCAGATTCCTTCAATTCAACGAGTCCGAAACATAATCTCGCAATTGTTCCGCAGTGAGCGCTGTGGTGTTAAAGCGCCACGATCTCGCCGTCAAAGACCGTGACAACATTTACGCCACCTACACCGGCATCTCACTGACATCTTTCGAGTCCATCGCAGGCCCGCTCACCACGCCCAGTCCCAAGGCGTAAGCGCAAGCTATTTGTGATGCATATGAAACTGTTGTGCTCAAGCTGTATTTCCTTGAACCTCGCAGTTTTGGAACTGGCATCAGACACCCTATCGAGCATGAGCGACGTCCCGAGCATCCAGACATACATATACTCAAAGATGGGCCTTTCCTTTTCGCCATCGGTGCGTACTACTAATCAGCTATCGAAATCAGCCACACTAAACAAGCTCTCCGTAGGCGCTCTTTCACTCAAAGCTGTGAATACATCGGAAAGATTTCATAAGGATCGATGCGCAGAACACACTGCACTTACGCTTTCCGCACGCCTCGGCAACCGTGCACGGCAGATGCCATGGAGAACTTACGCAGTTGCTGACTGTCTCCAGAGCGCGGCCTTTCCAGACCCGGTTGCGGTAGAGAAGCGGCCCAACCCGCTCGTGTTTTGCTTCTCTGGTCAAGGTCCGCACCATTGGCAGCAAGGACGCGACTTCATGGCTACGTATTCAGTTTTTCGCGAGAGCATCCATGCTTGCGATAAAGCGTACTTCGCATATACTGGGAACTCGTTCCTGCAGGAGACGGGACTGTTTGTCGCAGACCCTCCAACATCGTCTCCTCTCGCGGAGAGCTCCACTTGGCCAGCCGCTATCATATCGGTCTCCATGACATTCTTCCAAATTGCCATGTTCGATCTTCTGACGTCTCTGGGCATTAAGCCAGACGCTATCGTGGGTCCCTCCATCGGGGTTACCGCTGCTATGTACGCTTCCGGTGCTATGCCTCGTGAAGTAAGTTTTCAGGTTCGACCATCTAATACAATAATGTGACACTTCCACCTAGATGGTCATAGAAATCGCAATTTCCCGAGGACGTGCTCTCGCCATGGTTGACAATATGGGAGGTGCCATGTTCGCAGTTTCCGGCTGCAACGTCGATCGCATTCGTGGATATGCAGACACTGTTGCTTCTCTCAACAAGCTGAGAAAGGAAGAGTCCAGCAAGCTTTACGTGGCTGCGCCCCTGAGCCCTACGGATACCGTGTTCTCTGGTTCAGAAGTCCTCGTCAATTTGTTAACGAAGTACATCGATACCTATGTGGACGGTGTTATTGCTCGCAAGTTGCCAGTGACTACAGGGGTACATTCGCCTTTTGTGGATGCCTGCGAAGACGCGTACCGCTCGGAGCTGAGCAGGATTTTCTCCCGATATGCGGGCCCATTCATTCCTTCCATCCCCGATATGTCCATGGTTACTGCTGAGTTCCAATCCTGTGGGTACACTGTGGACTACCTCTGGGATAATCTGCAACAGCCTATGCTATTCTTGCCTGCCATTATCGGTCTATTGAACAAGTGCGGCGAACGTACGACGTTCATTGAAGTGTCGCCTCATCCAGTTCATTCTCTAGTAGGTCGATGGCAGTAATGGTCTATCCCTCTAGTCCTGACTTCGTTCGCAGTGGATTAAGAAGGCGGGGGCGTTTGATTCGTTGGCAACGGCTACGCGCCCTCCCTCGGCACGACACCTGATACCTGGCGCCAAACGTCATCGGGAGACTGAAGCCTTTTTACAGACGATAGGGCAACTGCTACTCTATGGGGTCAACTCGGTTAGTTGATCTCTTCGCGAAACCGTTGCATGCTATTTTATCGCGATCCCCAGATCAACTTCTCTGTTCTCAACGGCTGTCCTTCGGAGCCGCTCGACGGCCCTTTTCACCCATTCGGGAAGATTTTCGATTCATGTCATGGATTGGAAGGCCTCGTACCTTCGTCATGTTAATCTGCTTCGCATGTGAAGCTGCCGATCAGCGTTCTGTTCGATTACGTTTTGAAGATGGCGTGTAATATAGTGATTACGGTGAGATGATCGATGCCAAATGATCATAACGAATGCAATTCGGTGTTCCGCTTCTTCTGTTCAATTCTCCAAACTAACTAAGTGGATTGAACACCGCAATCAGGCAACTTGACATTGATGATAAAAATAGTTGTAGAAGTATACCAGTGTAACGTTTCTCCATGTACTAACTTTCGATGTGAATGATCTACATAGTAAAAAATGACATCTTGAGAAAAGCAGGCATGCGATGAATGCGTGACTATTGACGCGCGTGAGAGTGTGCTCGTGACACAACTAGTGACTAGTGACGAGACGCGTCGATGGTCATTGGTGACAGACCGTCCTGGCTCCTGGCTACAGATTTGCAACTTCTCGCTGGCGGCAAGAGACCTTGAGCCTGAGGCTTGATCGATGATCTCTGTGGTGACCACCTAGCCGAACTTCCTTGAATAAATTATTTCGGACCAGGGCGCGATATGAATATGGGCACAAGGCGCAGTCTGGGTGGAGCACTGGAGAACGAGGAGGAAAGCAACCAAGAAAGCTTATAGTTCTCGGTAAGGGTTCAGCTCACTTATCATTGTTTAGTTTCTTTGCACGTACCTGTGGAGCAGGCATGTATTCGTTTGACTTTCTTGACTCAATCGCTCCTCATCTGTGATCTTCATCCGCATGCTCCAGCATCGCTGACAGTGCTTCCCATTCGAGCCAGAGCGAAGGAATTTTGGCGGTCCGCCTGTGTCGACACGGGAGACTTGCATGATATTGTCTGTACATGTTCGATACAACGGAACATGAACGAGACAGGAATCGATGAAGAGACGGGACTTGTGGCTGGCTTAGATCCACACTGTGATCGTCTATATCTTCTATCCGGACAGCTTGTCTTAGTATATGAGAATGCTTTCGAAGCACATCCGTCGACCTTGAGATCCACGGAGCGATTCCATCGTGACCTGGTCGGATCCTACACCATAGATCCGGCTCTTTCGAACCGATTCAAAATGATCATTGTAGGATACTTACTGAGTGGCCCCTCGTGCTCCTTCTCCTTTTCAGCAAGATTAGCACTCCCTTCCAATCTGCCTATTCTTAGGATCTTCAGGACGACCAAGGTATGGATACCATCACGGTACCGAAATCCGGGCTTCCAAACAACGCACTTCTTTGCAGCTGTCTAACGGCCCTCCTAAGTGACTGAGGCCCTTCTCAAAGAAGGAACATTGTCGATGTTCAAAACGAATGTCACGTAGGTCATCCACAGTTACCAGAATACATGGACTGATAATTTTCTCTGTTGTTGATCACAAGATTAATGATATTATCCGAGAGAACGAGGCGCTTTTTTGATTATACGATGCGGTGCGTCTTCTGTCCATCCACCGATCCCTGGACATTTATGGTGTTGTACTCCATCACCTCCGGCTCTCAATCGTTCGGTACAGAGTCGATTGATCGAGTTAAGTTGGTGCTTTGACTATACGATAAGTCAGACTATGATGACACTCCCCGCGATCCAGAAAGCCTCTGTATGGTGTCTAGATTTTCCTTGAGCCTCCTTTACTTTATCGGTGAGTTGAAGCGGTTTTGCCGCCGAAAATAATCCAGCAATACCGTTTGTTTCGCTATAATCGACAACACATGTCTATGTTGATTCAGTATTCAGGACACATTCCGAATAGATCAATAGAACAGAAACGCTGCTATTTATTGGTACTGCTGATTTGACAAAGCAGATGACCGCCCTCCGTCCGGCTACACTCTTTCACCGGGTCATATGTGGGGCACGACATCCAACCTTTGCCGAATATGTGGCTCACTGTCCAAATACCTGATTTCATCCTGGGAATACGTGTTCCAGGGACGGAAACCTGGGAACCAGCCAATATAGTGCATGGTGTGAGGATGCTCGACAGGCGAGAGTCTCGTATACAAAATCGCGAGACACGTTAATTGAATGCGGGTCGTCAATCTATGCGCCCTTTCATGACGACATGTTGTCATTTACGTGTCAGTACGCTCGAGCCTAGTGCCGTAGACCTGCTCTATTTCTGGATCTAGGCACGGAGGACCGCATGCTGAAAGGTGAGCTCGCCGTTTCCGCCTTCTTTTCTCGAAGTTGCTTCATACCGCGCATGTCATACAATAAGTCGCACAACTAAGTAGAACCTTCTATGGTATATATTGTGAAGGTTCTTCTCCGTGGGCGTAGTGGTAACAACTGCCACCTGATTAGTCTTACGCCGCCTTGCTACTGCGAAGTTCTACAAGCAAGGTGAGAATGCAACTTTATTATGTTCCCAGGGCCTGCTTCGCTGTCACCTTACCAATACCGACGTTCCAGATGAGAACGCAACTATTCGTATTCACGGCAACCTCCTGCTTTGTGATCGCCGCAGTACGTACAGTTGATGCATTCTTTTTATTGAAACCTTGTGCGATCTCAACCTAGCTATTCCGTGCTGTACGGTGTCGTTCGGTGCAAATGGACGTCCGCCTCGATGCAGGTATGCAGTAGGCTGCACTCATGCTTAAGCTTTAAGGCTGGCTTATGATCGACTAGCTACCGCTGATGCCATTCGAGACGAGCCATGATTAGATCGATGAAAGGTCTTCGCTAAAATCTCGGGGTGACATTATGGCTCGGTGCGAAGCGTAACGATGCTTCGAATCGGCATGCAGGCACCGTACTCGTTCCGCCTGATCGTTTTTGATTGATACATTCCCAGGATCTCTCCAGATTGTATCACGGTGAATAGACGATCCTTTGCGGCTTTCACCGAGCCATCAAGGATAGTGATTCTGCCAAGGGCGCGGGGACGCAGTCCAAACGGATGTCCCAGAAGCTTCAAGCTTCAAGCCTCATGTAGCCTCGGCAACGCCGTAGCCGAGTAAGTTCCCATGGTCAGCATGAATTTTCAGTTCCTCAGTTGCCGCTGATACTAGTCTCATGAAGATAGAGGAGAAATACTCAGTGCACTATGATATCTTTGGTTGGCGTCCCTCCCACAGATGAACAGGTATTAACCTCCGTGTCTGCGGCTAGATCCCGATACCCGCTCATTGATATCGTCGTCGTCATCAACCTTGAGAATAGTCCTCGCCTTTTCACTCGAACGCACCGCTCGATCGGATCGAACTTCACATCCCCCAGTGGCATAGTCCAGGAAGATACGATATAAGCAAAGACTGGAGTCTTCCAAGCTCGGAATTCCTTCATCTCTCTCAGGACAGGCACAATGTCAGCGATATTGCCTAGCTACTCCAACCCCGACCCAAATGCGATCGCTATCCTTGGTATGTCTTGTACTCATCCCATGCACGTCCCTTGCAAAGCTCATGTCATGTCTTATTCAAAGGGATCTCTCTGTCCGGGCCAGGTGGAGGGACACGTGGACTCAACATTGAAGCGTTGGATGGTTGGAATGTTCTCTCCGGGCCTCCTAACCACCGAAACGCCGAATCCCATCATGGCATAGCCCTGCCACATAGGTACAACGTACGTCTTCACGGTTCCATGCTGTAGAGTTCCAACCTACTGACAGCACGAGTTCAGACGAAAGACAAGATGACTCCTGAGTTTCTATTCCGCTATCTCAAGGAATTTGGCATTTCCCCCATGGAGAGTGCCCAGGTTTCTCCAGCAGAAGTTGTCTTGTGAGTGATATATCGGTTTTCGGTGATATGGTCGAGAAATATGCTGATGGTGTTAATTTAGATTTTATCAAGTGCTCAGTGCTCTCCAGCGCAGCGGTATTGATTATCGCGGCACAAATACTGGCGTATACGTTGGGTACAGTGCGTATAGTCCATCTGTTGTATGCCGTGTCGTCTACATGCTTCACTATAGCTCGAGAAGATGCAGCTGAGAGAACGGACAGTGCTCAGGCTGGAGGTTAATCATATGCTGTTTGCAGTATCGCGGCATTCTGATGGATTTGCACAGTTTATCGCATGATGGGTACAACGCTGTCTACTGTGTCCAAGCGCATCAGCGATGTCTTCGACCTTCTGGGACCGACGCTTGCGGTTGACACTATATTGTCTGTGACGGCTCTCCATCTTGCCATCCAAGCTCTCAAAGACGGAAAGTGCGATCAAGCCGTTGTCGCCGACATTAACTTCACAAACAGGGGATTTGGTGAGCACACAAAGCTCGTGGACTCCAAGAATTGTCGAGACTAACCTCTTGCAATCAGCGAGCACTGTGGTGATAAAACGCCACGATCTCGCCGTGAAAGACATGGACGAAATCCTCGCCACGCTTTTCGGCACTTTATCGACGTCTCTTGGAATCATGACTTTACTCACATCTCTCAGTCAAAATGCCCACGCCCAGGCCGTTCGCAGTGCGAACCCCAGCATACGATTCAAGCCGCAACAAGTTCACCTGGCTGAAGTCCGTGGTGCCGGAATGGTCTCCGGACATTTCATGAAACACGAGAGACGCCCTCAACATCCAGATGCACAATCACTCAAACACGGGCCTTTCCTGTTTGCAATAGGTACGAATGATCAGTGCGCCTTCTGAGACATCTAATGCAGGAGTGCTCTCTACAGGCGCTCTTTCGCCTAACGCTGTACGTACATTGGAAAAAGGTTACAAGGATCAACGTGCAGAGCATTCTTCCCTTGCACTATGCGCACACCTCGGAAGCCGCGCACGGCAGATGCCATGGAGGAGCTATGCAATCGCCGATCGTCTGCAGAACGCAGCATTCCCTGATCCAGTACTGGTAGGAAAGCGACCCAATCCACTCGTGTTTTGCTTTGCTGGTCAAGGCCCGCATCACTGGCAGCAAGGACGTGACTTCATGACTAGCTATTCTGTCTTCCGCGAGAGCGTCTATGCATGCGATCGCGCGTATTCGGCGTATACTGGCAGATCCTTCTTGGAAGAGACTGGGCTATTTGCCGCCGATCCTCCAGCATCGTCCCCTCTTGCCGACAGCTCTACTTGGCCCGTGTATATCATATCGGTCTCCATGACGTTCTTCCAAATTGCCCTGTTCGACCTCTTGACATCTCTCGGAATCAAGCCAAATGCGATGGTTGGGCCCTCCGTCGGAGTGACGGCTGCCATGTATGCCAATGGAGCCATGCCACGAGAAGTAAGTGTATATGAACGAGTATTTGACCGTCTACGATACTCATGATCTTTCCGAATAGATGGTCATAGAAATTGCAGTCGCTCGTGGGCGAGCCCTTGACGTGGTCGACAATACGGGAAATGCTATGGTCGCGGTTTCTGGCTGCGACACGGATACCGTTCGTGGCTATGTTGATGCCGCCGCCTCACTCGCGAAGCTGAGCAAGGAGGAGGCGAGCAAGTTCTACTTGGCTGCTCCCCTTAGCGCCACGGATAATGTCTTCTCTGCACCAGAGGTTCTCATCGATCTGTTCACCAAGTACGTCGACACCTGTGTAAAGGATGTCATCACGCGCAAGCTGCCCGTAACTACGGGGGTGCATTCGCCTTTAATAGATCCTTGCGAGGAGACCTACCGTTCAGAGCTTGCCGAAATCTTCTCTCGCTTCGCAGGTCCATTCGTCCCTTCTATTCCCACTATGTCCATGGTGACAGGTGGGTTCCAAACCGGGGAGTATACCATGGAATACCTCTGGGATAATCTGAAGAAGCCTATTCTGTTCGCCTCTGCCATTTTGGGCCTCGTGGGTAAGTTCGGAGAACATACGACGTTTGTTGAGGTCTCACCTCATCCAGTTCACACTCTAGTACGTCTAGCATTCGAACATTTATCATTACTTTAATTCTGATTCCGCTTTAAGTTCATCAAGAAGTCGGGGGCCTTTGATTCCCTGGGAACAGCCACACGCATCCCTACAGAGCGACACACGATGCTGCCTGATGTCGAACGTCATAAAGAGACGCATGCCTTTATGCAGACTGTGGGACAGTTGCTGCTATATGGCGTCAATTCGGTCAGTTAAGCTCACTATAGAACTCGTTTTGTAGCTAATTCTGGTCCTCAGATCAACTTCGCTATTCTGAATGGCTGCCCTTCTGAACGGGTGGAAGATCCTGCTTATCCGCTCCAGGTCAAGATCGAGCCAGCCGCTGTACGGGAGGTTGCAAGGCTCTAGACAAGCGACATGATGCCATATTTACTCACCTTACGAAGCGGTCCAGCAACGGGACTTAGGTGAAGCAAGGCTTGGGTTTGGGTTTCTTATGACTTCGATGATTAGCGACGAGTACCGATATCAGGCGCCCAAAAAATCCTACGTCCACAGAACCCATCTTTTCGGTCATTTCGCTGATGAACAATGGAGCACAGCAGTGGACGTATGTGCATACACTGAGTGGCGAGGGTGCTCGTAACACATATATATTTGTCTATGCGAGTGGAAACTGCGAGCAATAGGAGTCCGGGTTTGCGTATCGGACTCGCTCTCCCCTACGTATCGCTTCGACTACTATTATCAGATGACGCAGAAATCTCGTACTCATCAGCTGAAGCAACTCCATTCGATCTCAAGCTCCTACCATTCTCTTCGGGGAGCTCGGTTTGATGAGCGCTGAATCCGTCGTGACTGGGCCTTGCCAGAGGCTGACACGCAGTACTATTTTGAAAATCATCTTCCTCCGGCAATATTCATACCCGTGCCTGTATCACATCCTGTCAGATATAGCGCGCGCGAACCTGAAGCAGTGTTTCTGCATCATCTCCGTCTCCTCTTACAGTATGTGATTTAGGATCTCAGATCGCGCGTTACTGAGGGCTGGCGAGATCCATAGGTCGCAGCAGGACCATCGGGTCTCTAGGCTCCCTTCCTCCCTCTCATCAACGCACGCGTTATCAACAAGGATTCCTTTCGACGCGGAGGATCAAATGAAACTGCTTCACACGCGTTGCTTCTAATTCCCTGCGCAGATGCGTCGCTCATAAACAGCATGCGCTTCACCTTTTGTACCCTAGAACGTTGGAGCTCCTCGTGTTGCTCGGCGCCTTTGATGAAGTTCCCAAGGTTCCTCTACCACGCTGTTGATAGGTACACGCGTAAATGCCCTTAGATACACTTGAAAGGAATTGCGCCACGCCAAAAAGCGATGTTCGGATGAAAGAGATTTGACACGCTCGTTTGCCAAGTAAAATCTCGCAGTGAGATAGCCACTTTTGAGCAAATCCGACGATAAAGTCATCACACAGGATAACAGCCAGATCGAACAGGCATGAGGCTGCGGAACGCCAACACCTCATAGCATCCGACGACGTCAAAAGTGAATTATGCCCCCGTCGGTTGTTGGACCAGACTCCAGGCAGGACAAGGAAGACATCGGGCCTGCCATTCCTCAGAGAAGTCTACCACGCCCAGTGCATGTTCACTGCAAATATAAACATTCACTGTGGACTCGGTAGCAGCCTAAAGGCTCGAATCGACCCATCCGCTAGCCTATTTCCTTCATGCTGCAATGATCTGACAATCGAGGTGGGATGAACCCCGTGTTACCTCGTTCACCTTGGATAATGGTGACGAAAATTGCCTTCACCTTAAGCTCGCTCACTTGTAAGATAAGCGTATCCAGCCGCTCGACGTCTTATTTCGAGAAAGCAGTTTCGTAACATGTCAAGGGTATTGAGGAGCTCTGTTTGGACACCCGCAGTGCGGATGATGCTCTGGAGGACGAAACGGTCGATCTGTCGCAAGAGACGTTGTCGTCCCCCAGTAACAACACCTAGTACAGTAGCGCCGCCACCCCAGCACTTTAGTGGAGGCAGGCGACTCACATGCTATATCTATTAGCGACCGCTTTGCAACGTGCTGATGGACGGAGGAACGGATACGCTTCACGACGCCGAGCGCAGGTGGAATTTTATAAACTTTACGCAATCATCGAGATACTGTTCCTTCACACTTTCCGGCTCATTGTGCAGTTCGTGGCATGCGTTCTAGTATCCAAAAGAAAGTCGGTATAAGGTCATTCCTGCGGACAATATTGAACGCACCGAATAGATGCTCAGCTTCTTATCAGTGGCTGGCAGTCTTTCAAAGAACTGTTCTGTGGCGCTTGGGAGAGACACCTGCGAGATAGAAGCTAAGTACGAATATATGAGTCTCTGGTTAATATGACAAGCCTGGTCGTCGGCTCCTTGAAGGATGAGAATCTGGGTGATATTTATGTGAGCGGGTTTTCGGGAGCTAATTGGATACACCTACAGGCAGCTCGGGCGGCCAGTTCTGATAGGACTTGTAGAGCAGCTCCTCTCCCTATGATTATGTAAGTTCGTCAGTATCGACTAAGTCTAGAGAGATTGTAGCCTACGGCATCGAGAGCATCTCCAATTCCTCTAAGACTTCCGGGCGTCTTCACGAATGGGTCCTCTTCGTACGCCTTGTTTGTCTCCGCGTTCCGAGATAGATCCTGTAAAACGGAGACATGTTTTTAAGATAGAGCAAGCACGTCACAATTCTCTAAATGGTACCTCTGTCTTGTTCTGGATGGGATACACCAGGTTAGGCGCGATAGCTCGTACTTTCTCGCCTGCCCAGCGAACGAACTTTGATGGTGACTTAGTCAACAGAAACGTAGGAGCAGCTGCAATCGCTCCGGACAGCAAAGCCACGGTGGATTTCGCGGGAGGTGCATCATCGCACGTTGCGAAACTTAGGATAACCACGCCGCCCTGCAGCAATCGAGCTGAGCTACGGTCCCATTCGCAGATCGGCCGGAACTGACCATAGAGAATCCCATCAAGAAGATGGGCAGGTCGGGATATCGGTGATGGACATGTTTCACGAACCATTCGAGGTCCTGAAGCTGCTGAGCCAACGATGTCTTCCCGTAAGAGCTGTCCTTGCTCTTGCGTTCGATGTCCAATGCCGTGCGCCCAAATCCGCGCTGATCATATGCGACGACGGTGACGCCACGGGAGGCAAGCGCGGAGTGCGTTTGAGTATATCGTCCAGTGTGTTCTGCGGCCCCATGGACATAGATGAGAACGGCCTTAGGGGAATCGGCGGAGTATGCACGGGCGTAGAATTTGGTCGAGGTCGGACCTGTCAGCCATTCTTCCGTGTAGGCAGATGTCTCCATGATGAATTACGGCGCAATGCGCTGGCGTAGAAGAAAAAAAAGACGTTGAAGATCAGGCGCTAGCTGTTGACTAGACCCCAGCAACTATATGTATGCCTGGACGTGGGAGCCCTGGGAAATATCAGACGGAATCATGATCAGAAAAATTGTTCGCAGTCGGCAAACGTTCCAGAAACAATCTGAATTTGAAGAGCAGGAGTAGTATAGCGCAATCACACAGTCTTGATCACGACGTATGATACTCCGGCATCAAGAGCGCTGAATACCACTCGTTGGTAGATCATAAGCCTCGCACGATGCATATGGTAGGACGTACACACGTAAGACACGTTCCTGGCATCCTGAATTGTCTCGGGTAGCTATCCAATAATCAACAGAGGGTAATGAGCGATGCGTCCCAAGAAAGATCGTGTAAAGAAGGCCGGCGGAGAGCTCGTTCTGTGAGATGCGATGAGCGAACTCACCCTGGCGGGAGTTATCAGCACCATGACAATGAGTTCGAATAGTTGGCCTCTGTATACCATGTCTCCCTTTGATACGGGAGGACAGGGTGGAGTGAAGCCGACGTAGAGAGCGAGCCACGTGAGGACTAGCGACACAGACTTGAGAATATCTGTCGCAAGCATACAGCACGGACGACGTGTGTGCCGTTATGAAAAGTTGTAGGAGACGTCTGATTTCTCTTCCATGCCACGAAATCAAGGCGCGTTAGACTTGGAGCTTGGAGAGACAGATTGACATCCGCAATCATTCCCGACGAGAAGCGTAAAAAAGCACGCGATCCGAGCTCGTTTGCGACACTTGCAATTACACGTGCAGTTGCAAATCTTCGTGAGCAATGCGCTACTGTTCCTTGATGCGATCACGCTGATGCGGTACCAGAGAGAAATATTCATTGTAAACCACGCAGGGCACTAGAAACGCTGCACATGTGCTATAGCAGGATTTAGTGTCGGACTCCAGATGAACGCAGCAGTGCATGGACGCGCTAAATTCTCAGCCACAACGATGATGGATGGTAGTCACGTGTGACGCCCCTGTGACTGAGACTTGGCCTGGCGTCATGCTCTCTCACCTAGATCTCCTGTTTGCTCGAAATGCAACACATCTCTCGTCTCGCTCTCTCCCATCATGTCTGGCTTGTACGCTCTGCTCAAGCGGCTCTATGATGTTTGTTCTCTGCCATTGTTAACGGCACGGATGACTTAAATATTCTTTTGCAGCTTAACTACCCGCCACATGCTCCAGAAAAGCGTCCCGATGCACTGCGCTTTGGGATCCTGGGCGCAGCCCGCATTGCTCCAAATGCACTCATCACGCCTGCAATTAGCCATGCGGACGTTGTAGTGAGTGCAGTGGCGTCCAGGGATCGCGTCAAAGCCGAGGCGTACGCGAAGAAACATTTGATCGCAAAGGTATACGCCGGAACAGGCTGTTACCAATGTGCGTGCGCCTTGCATGGGATTTCGTGCTGCACTTTTTGACAGTGAGATCGCTTTCCATAGCCTTGATTGACGACATCGATATCGACGTCGTCTATATCGCAGTAAGTGTTAGGTCTCCTGAACGCGGACGGACGTATTGACGACAGGGGTAGCTTCCGAACGGGTTGCATTTCGAGTGGACAATGCACGCGCTCAACCAAGGCAAGCATGTTCTTGTTGAGAAGCCCATGGCCGATACGGCTGCCGAGGTTCGATACTTGGTCGATCTCGCAGCGAGCAAGGGCCTCGTTCTCCTTGAGGCAATCCATCACACGTATGTTGATGTTGGACTTTTATGTTTTGTGTCATATGCTTCATATCAATGGCATCGCTGTAGCTTCCACCCCTCCACCCAGCGCGTCAAAGAGATCATCGACAGCGGCGAACTTGGCAAGGTCACCCACATCAGCGGAGATTTTGGCGTTCCTGTACAGGCGGATAGTCTGTTATTCCTCAAGGACGACATTCGATACAATTATGACCTAGGCGGTGGCTCTGTGATGGATCTCGGCGGTACGATGATGAAATGCTCGCAATTCTGTATGCTGCTCATTTGAGCTCCAGTGTACCCGCTGTCAGCTATACGTCACTTTATGGGCAGCGAACCAGTCAAGGTCTCCAGCGCAACAGCCGTTGGCCACGCTTTGGACCCCTCTCGTATTGACCGCGCCATGACCGCCAAGCTCGTCTTCCCCTCGTCGGTTGAAGCGGACCTCTACACTGACTTTGCCATGCCCGGCTGGGGTCCCCTCCAAATCCTTCCTCGATCATTCAGAGTCAGCGTTCATATCCAACTCGAGCGTGGGGAAATTGAGTTCTACAACTACATTTTGCCGCACGTGTTCCATAGCATCACTGTGAAACCTCGGGACGGGCCGCAGCGTGTGGAAAAGGTGTACAGTTTCAAACATGGTTTCGGGAAGGATTGGTGGTCCACGTATGTGTGGTTTAGTGGTCGTTCTACCGAGTCTGATTATCCATTATTTTGCGCGGGCAGCTATCGGTACCAACTCGAGGCGTTCGTGGACAAGGTTCGAGGCCGCACGCCACAAACCTGGCCACCTGCGGAGGAACCCGTGCTTCAGATGCAATGGGTGGAGAGCTTGTACTCTGCTGCCGAGATGCCTATTCGTCCAGTATCTGCCGCGTTCTCGCGTCTTGCCTAGGACCATGTTCCAATCTCTTCTTCTGTAATTTCTTCTCACTGCGTCGGTCTGAGGTTCCCGGTTTCGGTAATGCTTTGGGACCACGCCGTTAGCTTTGGTGCGGACCATTTTTCAATCGTCCTGTCGTTGGCTCCACTGATGGATGTGTTGCACCTTGTGTGAAACATGCTTCGAGCTCCCATCTTGATTCTTGTGATCCACATCAGCATTCCGTTGATCGTTTGACGTCAAACGGAGAAGGGATGGGAGCACGTGTGAACCCCGAGCGTAGCGAATGCAGCACACGGCATTGGCGTTCGAACTGTAGCCGAAGATAGATGTTTGGGCTCTTTCCATGATAGGTACGTGCTAAGCGAAATGTGATGCCGGGAGTGTGTCCGAATGGCAGATGGCACGGATCTCCAATGTCCGGGTGTGCGGACTGAGACTGCCCGCTTGTGCTTTCGAAGAAGACCGCTCCATCTGTGAGGTGCAACCCCGGAGGGTTTTCGGGCTTGGTCGGATTCAGAAAGGCTCTAACGATGGAGGGTATTAGCTTGGTAAAGGAACACGTCAAGGCGTTCAACGGCGTGGATGTAGCGAGGACCCTGCCAGGATTGACGATATGTGGTAACTTACGCTGAATCCATTCGTCGTCGAATGAATCGGTTGCAATCGCCTCCGTAGGGTGGGTTGGGCAAACCGCCCAAAAATAGGATGAGATGTCTCATTGGCACGATAAGCGTGTCAAAGTACATACAAGGAGAGGTTATAAGGCTCACTCAGCTGTGAGGAATAAAGAGCTTGAGTGCGAATAAGTATCCGAATTACAGGCATGGGCAAAGCGAGGTATAGAATACTATATAGGCAGAAACAGGTAAAAATGCACTGAGATGGTGACGGGGGATGCATATGTGGGGCGAAATAAAATATAAAATAGAATGCAGTGGTACCTAGACGTGCGGAATGAGTTCGACCCAAGATACGGCCTTGTATGCATCGCGAGGAAATGCACGGAGAGTGGTAAATGCGAGGACGAGGAGGATGAGTCGGGAGACAGCATATAGTATGAGGATGATTATACCGAAGATGATAAGTGAAAGCTGTTCCAGTGCGTCCTCCACTATTTTAGGTAGGGACGAAAAGTCAAATATTGCCACGATAGCGAACGTAGACGCCTCGAGGAGAGGACAACAAGTGATCACAAGGGAGAGTACTCGCCAGAGAGATTGTTCAATGAAAGTTGGGAATTGGGAAGACCATGCAGCGCAGTGAATTAGTCCAGAAATCGTAGGAGCGACCAAAAGGCATGTGACAATGACTAATCTATCCTGAGATGAAGCTCCGACCGGCTGGAAATGCCAAATATTCCTCCTTAATTGAGTGAAGATGGCTACTGCAGCAGCAAAAAAGCAAAAGAATGGATATAGAATTACACAAACCGTAGACAACAACCTGCCGTTTGGAGGAGGGTATTGAATTCCCACATCTTCTTCTAGGAATTCTATATAGGACCCCCATGATGCGTTCCACAGCAGTGCGACTGGATGGAGCAGACTGTGTACGTGTCCCCTGTTCTCAATTGAAACGTAATGATGATAATATTCTTAAGAGACCGACCAAGCGTGAGGGTTGAGCCAAGAAATCAGCGCGAAATGCTCACGCGTAGATTGGCTATCAGCCGACTTCATATAGCCATCCAGAAGGCCAGCTTCAGCCTCGTTGGGCATTTTCATTGCCAAGGGATCTGTCGTTATTTCATCCTCCTTTAATCCGGCCGGATCCAATCCATGCGCCGCATTTTCACTTCGTTCAACATTTGCATGTCTTCTTCACGCTTCCGCACGGGAGGTCGGAACGTCTGACGGGATTCGAGGAGCATCTGGCCGTTCGTGAAGAATGTTTGGTACACCGACGCAAAACGGTTTCTTCAGCCAGAATGCATACGCGGCGTTCGCCATGACTGTGAAGCCGACCGTGAAGACCTCAAGCTTGGTGACTGGGAGTCTATTGACGAGACGGGCGAAGACCTGCAACGTGAACCAGAAAATCTGGATGGATGCTGCCGTCTTTGACACCCAGTCCGCTTTGCTCCTATCATGTACCCCCTGCTCTGATATATGCGGAAAGTCTAGCTTCCTGCTTCCGATGAGGCTACAGAGTTCAGCGGCGTCAAGTTGCATTGTATCACGTTCCGATGGCTTGCACAGTGCGAAACCTCCCATAAGCACAAAAAAGCCATGAGTAATGTCCCAGCTGTGCTCTGAAATATTCAGTATCAGCATAAATTAAATTAAATTTCAGCAGAAGGACTGCATGTTACCTTTGAACACATCCATCTGAGCTATTTTACGAGCGTTGAAGTATTGGAACGCCGCTATGAGAAGGTAAATGTCCGATGCAATGAGGGCACTAACGGTAAAGCCTATGCGGCGAAAGGTCTGCCACCAGGGATCCTCTCCGTACGGCGGGATGTCAGGGTGGACAGCGGTCCAGGCGCACGCAACGATGGTGGCGAGACAACGGGAGCAAATGTGCAGGAGCGTTCGACAGCCGCTGAGTTCGGTACAAAATGAGGAGATGTCCTCGATGAACTGAACATCACCGATAGGTGCGGCGAAAGAACACTGATTGAATCAATAAGAGAACACGAGAGCGAGGAGCATGGTGTGGAGCGTTAAATGGCTTCTCGAGACGTGATGGAGTGTAGGATTGGAAAGAACAAGCAGCGTGACCGAGCCCCTTTATAAGCGAGTGCTGCGCAGATAACTACGAGCGCTGCAGCGACGGCGTAGGGCTGGGATCACGCCAACATGCCTGCACGATGTGTCTGAACTTTGAAGGCGATAGTGCCGGAGCTCAGCTCTCCTAATTTGGCGTCTCAACTGTGTGGTGGCTTGCTCCATGAGCTGCCTCCATGCTGGCCGGAGTTTTGGCACCGAATCAACTCGTCCTAAATGCATTGAATTCAGCTGCAATGTCGGCTTGGCGTAGAAGAGACCCACATGACACGCACATGCGCACCCCATTGTACATATCAAACGTTGGTTCTGTGATAAGGGCCATAGATCCAGTTTGAACCAATTCAAGATGTTCTGTCCGAGAACGCGCCTAATATGAGTACCTCGTGGCGGTACTACACCCATGCACTAGCATGTCAATGGACATAGCAGTTGCTGGAATGAAGCATGTTTTATAGAGCTCATAGACACGTGCCGGCATGCGGAACCAGACAAGTGTCCTTCTGTGGATGGTGTACTCGTTTTGTATATTAGCCTAAGGGGGTGACGAAGCTGGAAACTGACATGTTTGCACAGATATGGGCGACCTCAGATCTTGCACACGTACATGTTCTTAAGCATTGTCTGTTTTGTGAGAGCGGATTTGGATAAATTGTCCAATAATCTAGGTCAAAGATGCTTGTGCAGTCCTCAATTGATGTACAATACGCATGATTGCAATAGTGGCTGTACGGACTACAAATATGCACGGTGAAATAAGAACGGCATTGAACACACAGCATCAGCGAAATAACGCACATCAAAGGATATATCGAAAATCACGGTTCTGAATGTCCGTCAAGTCTAGGAATTCCTGCACAGCGGAGACGCGCATCAATAGAGATCCGGCCCATGCAACAATACAGACCGACCTTATCTAACTTCCGCTCCAAAGGCATCCCATTCTCGCCAGGGTCCGTTATGTACATATCGTTATACGTGTCGTCGGGCGGCTCGGCATCGCGTCGCACGTTCTCGGATGCGAGGCGAACTCGGATGATCAGGAGGAGAAGCGGGCAGGCAAGGTAGCAGAAGCCGATAATTGTCCATGGGACGTGGTTTCTGCACCGGCGACAATAAGCGCCAATGCGATTGTAATCAACGCGAGTCAAAGGGTGACTAGCTCACCGTGGCTTGTACTTCTCTTGCCACATGAACGGTCCCAGGGCGTTGCCGAGGCAGTAGGCGATGAGCATGATGGCGTTCACAGTAATTCGCTTTGTGTGTCCTGCCGTGACGTTCGACAGCCAAGAGAGCGAGAGCACGAACCCCGTCGTGCCAACGCCTGTCCCCACCGTGAATAAGCACATGTTAAGCGCCGAACGCCACTCCACAGACACGCACCGGTTAGCCACTGCGCGCATAGCAGTCCAAACCGGTTGCTCCACGGCAGCACGTTGATGAGGAGCACGCCGACTAGGTTCAGAATGAAATACACCGCGCCGACGTACGCGCGGGCGTTTTCCAGTCGTACGGCGAGCCGCACGCCCGTCCAAATAGTGACGATTTCAATGATGCCATCGACACAGCCGAGGAGCGTTGTTTGCAGGTAGGTGAAGCCGAAAGAGGCCACAATCATCTGCCCTTGGTTCGTGAGGCTATTTGGGACATTATTGAGTGCGGAGAAGAGGGCGAAGAGCCACGTCTTGGGGTCACGCAGCGCCTCGTGGACTCTGTGTAAGAAGGCGGGCTAAGCACGGAGGCTCTCGAGAGATCGGAACACGTACTGTTCCACCTTGAAATGCTTGTTCTCCACGCCAGTCTGGTTCCCCTACGGATTCGGCAATGTTCAGTTCATCGGACTAGTATAGATGAAAAAGACATAGACATACCTTCAGGCGTTGTATAGCCACCACGCGTTCTTCATTGGTCAAGAACCATGCATTCGTGGGCGAGTCGGGGAAATAGAGCCTTTAGAAACAATCACCAAGGCTTGGAATGGAGATTCGCGTAATTAGCTTACCAATAGGCTACGGCGGTGATGAATGTCATAATGCCGGTGATTGTCATGAGCCTGACACAGGAGATGACACTGTAAATATAGGTGGGCCGAAGACTTTGAAAATGCCGACCATTGCCACGGTTCAAAGCCCTCGGTTCTGATATGTAGAGTTCCGAAGCTAATGAAACCAGATATGATCTGCGCTAACTGCATGGAGTCACGAGACAGCCAGAGATTGTACCTTGCTGCTCTACTCACCGGTCCCATTCATAAGAACTGAAAAGAGATGAGCGACTAGTCAGCGAGGAAAGAGAAACCACAAACACCAATATCCAACTCGCAGTGTCTGCTCGTTATGGGTATAGAACATAGAGCTGACGATCATGAAGCCTGCTGTGATAGATCCCTCACACATGCCGAGTATAAAGCGAGCAGCGAATAATTGGGAAAAGTTCTTGCACGCAGCATGCGCGGTCAAGGCAGCTCCCCATATGAAGATGTTAATGCTGAATGAAAGCGGCCATGAGATGCGGGGTATGAAGATGATGAGAGCGCTTACCTCATCCATTTTCCCACAGGAAAGCGTTGCAATGCCATATTCTGAGGATACTCGAAGACGAGGTAACTGATGTAGAAGACTGTTCCGAGCCTGTGGTAGCATGAGAATGTGAACATACAGACAATTCCATAGCTCACCAGTTGTACCTAGCAAGGAAGGCTCTTCAGCAGCAATACGCTGGACTATTGGAAAGCGTACTCATTTGTGGTCAAGTGGGTGGCTTCTCTGTCGAATTCATAGCTGTACAATGAACGATCCGGGAAGAGGTAGAGAATCCAGTGACAAACCTAATACCAAGGATTGCAGCACTTCCGAGGGTGGTTTTGTCCATGAACTGTATCCAGTACAGTGCTACATTCAATCCAAATTAGTCAAATATATACCAAGCACATGTTGTGTCTTTAAAGGCCAATGTATGATATTGCACTACGCAGGGGAAATGAGACAGACGTACTGCACATGAGAGGCAGAATATGCCAATCAATCTTCTCTCGCACTCGATCAGCCTCTATGGGGTCCAGTGTGTCCGTGATTCCGGAGATAAGTTGGGCAGCGGTATCTACTACTTCGCTTGATACAGCAATGTGCCCATCTTTGAAGTCATCTTCGTCGCCTATCACTTCATTGGGTCCTAATTCTTGTAGCGGAACGTAGTACGAGCCCTCTCGTGAAGTGTACCGACCCGCATTGTGTGAAAACATACTTATAGCATGTAACGTCTTGTTTTATAGGATGAAAAGGAGTGATACTACAAGATAGTCATTGCAGGAGAGTAGAGACGTGGAAAACTGCTTCGGTCACTGATTGCGCCACAGGCGCGTAGCCTCACGTGACGCAATTTGCTCGTCCTGAAGTTTGAACCGTACCAAGCTGCTTCTTCGCGGTATTTGCTGTCACCGACTCTGCTTTCCTACGACTTGGTATGGTAAATATGCTCAAAATCCAGGCGAGCGTTTCACCGCCCTGTCATTGGTTCCAACTTCTGGCTCCCCACTTGACGTTCTTCTGTTCTGTTAAAGGATTGTTGGTTGTGACGAATACTGTCAATCGGCCACATTTAACGCCACGGACTGAGACTGTCGAACGTTCACTCTCATTGTGTGCTGCGGCCAACTCCAATTTCTCACCTTGCTGTGCTAGTCATCTTTTAAGAACAATGTGGCCACCCTTACGGCATTCTATCCGGCGTCTGATCTACTATATCTCTAATGAACAAGTGCGGGACATCATTTCTTATCTCCATTGTATTTCACTGCAGGTGCTAATGATGCTCAGGGGCAAAATAAATGAGACGTCGACAAATATCGCAGTCCGTGTTCAACCGCTCCACAACAGCGAGTTCTTCTCCCCCTCGCCTGCTTTCCAACATTCCAACTTACTGCAGATTTTGTTTGAGCATAACTGCTGGCGCTGGCATAGCCCATTTATCTTTGGCGGAGGACGTCGATATGGCCACTGACAACCGTTCGTCTTAGATGTGGATGGAAAGGCCACGATCGCAGTTGAAGACGCTATTCGCGGTTACAACAAACTTAGTCTTCAAGACGTACCTCCCGACGCCATGAAATACAAGAAGGGAGAGTCCAGGCATCGGTTGACTTCAAGAGGGGCCTGATCGACGTGAGCACACGGTACGTCGAAGAACATCTCAAAATGCTCAAAGCCGCTCTAGCATCGTAGACCACGAGCCACAATAACTTCTCTATGTTCGTCTTAAGGCTCTGTACGGATTGCTGGCGTGCCAATCAGAGGACGTGGAGAGTGCTCCATTTGAATGCGACAGTCCGTGTACGTGAGTGACCCATCCTGCACCTCATGATACATTCCAGGGCTGTGTAACATCTACCAGAATCTATGTATCCATCTATCCTACAGAGCCATGACTCCAATTTGCTGAAACATATCGGCAGACGTGGCACTCAGCACATGCAATGGAATCCCCGGTGCGACGATGGGATGAAAACGCTGAAATGGGACGGCGCTTGTAATATGCGAGGAGATGCTCAAATATACCAAGGACCAACACTGTCCCTACGCAGCGCAGGTCAAGTGTCGCTTCTCTCAAGGTGTTTCGTTCCTTGACTCCAGCGTATGCTCACAGTGATGCTCGTAGACGCCGTAGCTAGCTACAATCATCTGCAATCATCTGGTGAATGGCCTTGGCTTCAAGCCGGAGAGCCAACTGGGAGTTAATCTCCCTTGCTACCCTGTGCGCAATCACTCGACTTCATCCATTCTGTTATCCCCCCTTCTCTCCCCTTCCACAAACTCTTCTTCCTTTCATCTGCGGTCAACCGGGGTTGGATTTATATGGGGATCGAGTCGAGGACGCAGTAAGACTCGAATTCACACAAGGTGACCTGGTTTCTCGGCGATTATGCTAGTGGTAGGCATTACTTGGCAGTCTTATGGAGTAAAACACATACAGCGACTCGTGTATCATCCCAGGCTCTATCCGACACTCTCACGCCAAGGGACCCCTTGGAGGCGCGAGAATGACGATCCAATCAATAATTCTATTGCGATACCGCGCTGTGATGGACCGTGGATAACAGCTGAGGTAACTCAGAATGCGACGCATATGTGGTCTGCTGCCCAGATAGGTGTTTGTCCACCAGCAAAGCAGTCTTCGCGTTTGTGATGCGCCCCAGTCGCCTCCTAATTTCTGTTGTAATCGGGTTGTCTCGCCATGTAATCCGATCGTGACCATCGTCCTTTACTCGTGTTTGTAGTCGAGGTACCAAGCGAGCGAGAAATCCGATTGCATGGCATGCGTGCAAATAATCTCAAATCCAGATATCCTGCGAGACTGCATCCGATCATTCATTCAATTCTTAGTCGCGCATGGATGAGGAGACAGTTCTGGTCAATAATCACGACATTGTTATGAAAGAATCGAATCTTCTAGGGGATGCAAGGACTGACAATGAGCCTCCTCGAGGCCTGCATAGCGCCATACTCAGCAATGAAGAAGGTTACGCTCGGAGATTGCTAGTGATGTGCAACTGCTGAGAAGGAGGTATATGCTGCTCTCCGAGCAACTCTACCCCGCCTGCAAGGATCCCTACACGCAACATAGCCAGAAACTTCGTACGCAGAGCAATCAGTCTCACGAACGAAAAGATCAACGGATACCATACATTGTGTGCGGCATTGGAATGCTGGTAAATTCCTCCAAAAAACGCGGCAGTCATATCTTTGCCTGAGTTACGTCTTAACAGCTCAACTCCTCCCGGATGTTCTGCGTTGAAAGTGGTGACATCGTGAATAAAACCGGATACTAGAATGAGCGTGCGTTTTGCGGCTTCCTCCTGAACTAATGACACAATCATATTTGTGGGCGCTACAGTCGAAACAAACTGACTCACATGCACTCCAAGTAAGTATCGGTAGGTCTTCGGGTGGTACTGGCCATTCCAGCGCGTCTTGCAATCTCTTCAATCTCTTCAGCTCCATCGTGAGCGATCCTTTCTGGATCTCATTACCAGGAAACGTCCGAAGATGGCTGGCAAGGCCAATGACATTGCACGCAGTGATAAACCATTTCGTAGGGTCATATTGATACCATCGAAAAGCGTTCCGATAGTCCATCGGAAACTGATGATGGAAATTGTGATACCCTTCACCCATGGTCAAGATAGCTGACAGCAGATGGTCCTTCGGTGAAAGCCTATCGTCATACGGTGTGTCACCCAAATAGTGCGCCACCGAATTGATGCAAAACACGCACTGAGGACAATTTTAGAACGCGCTCAAGAGGTAACGTCCACGTCCACTCACGTGGTGACAAACGGTCATACGTAGAGCTGCTGCGAAGCACAGTCCACCCAACCAGTCATCCCATAGGAATCCCGTTAGCATTGTTGGTAGTACAAAACCGGTTGTGAATGCGATGGCGAAGTACCAACGATGCTGCCATTGGATAAGCTCATCGTTCCTGAGGTCGGATATGTCCGCACTTCCTGGGCGTAGATCTGTGTGGAAGATCATCCACCCGATATGCGACCAGAACAGCCCTCGTTTCGCATTGTAAGGGTCTTCGTCAGTGTCCGTGTGGCGATGGTGCGAGCGATGTCGCCGTGCCCACCAGTAGACCGAACCCTGTACAGCGCATGAACCTGAGAGAAGCAAGAAGCACTGCAGAGCAAGTGTCGCCTTATATGCTCTATGAGACCATAGCCGGTGATAGCCTGACTTTTCGTCACGTCGGTCAATCTACGAGAATGCGGAGAATAAGAATGTGCTGACCAGCAGTGATGCCTACACGCTCAGAGGAATGAGTACGACAAGTATTGACGATCCACGGTGACTTACCTATCATTGAATTAACGTAGAGTGTGACTGCGCAGACCATTGTCTTTGAATTGATCGGCACGTAGCAGATTCCATATGCAGCCAAAGCAGGAGTGAAGACGAGAACGGACAGATTGAACCATTGTATGCCTCTGATGGGCGGAATCTTTTCAAACCCGAACAGAGATGTAAAGAGGTGCATGAATGGCGACAGAATAGGCGCGGAAGCCGTAAGATAGCCGGTCATGCTGCAGTACCTTGCACGCAATGTATTTATCGAATCCATGAAGGACACAAAAGAATGAATCAGAGGCTGTACTTGCTGCCATAGTTCGCATGAAATTGCAAGACAGCCGGATCTCTGGCACAAATGGTCATAACCAGCGCGAATACTTTGATTGATTGGCTCTGTGCGAGAACTGAAATTTAGTGTGTAGCGGAATGCTGATGGTAGCACAGAGAAAGGTCAACGTACCAATCAGGTGTTGGAGGTCGCCATCTTCACTTGTCGACGCCCGCGTGATAGAAGCATGTGTGCCAGCTCCAGGATAACATGATCCGAGATGAGTGCGCACAAAGTCCGCGATATGATGTGGGAGGAGTTCAATGCATCGTTGTGCGGTGAGGCCGAACGTCAACTGAGATGAATCGGTGGAAACACGAAGAAGCTTCGGTCCATGATTCTGGGGTACAAAGTACGCCATGCCATCAGATCCCTATCTGAGTGCTTACCAGATCATGCGAACACCTGCGTGCCTATTCACTTGTGTGTAGTACATTAAAGCACCAGATGTCATGAATTGAAACGAAGGCCCAGATGATACAAACGCACGAGTAATCGGCCATGATCGCAGGATTGAAATCGCCTGGCTCAATGATGGTCTGTGAACCGGCGTCCAAATACGCAATTAGCGTGGACGTAGACTCAATATGACAGAAGGTGCAGCCGCCGCTCATGATGCAACTTTCCAACAGATAACGACCACCCATGTGACGCTGTTCGGTACTCACGCTGTCTCCGAAAAGCACTAGCACGAACGTCCCAGTTGACTACGGCGGATCCTGTATCCAGACCGTGAATGCTGACTGAATCTGTCTGTATTGTGGCCTCTGACAGTATACGCAGGATCGAATTCCTGTCGATCATGTAAACCACCGCTAGATTCAAACTTCAGAGTGTCACCATAAAGTAAGAAATTTGACGCACCTCATGAAAGGGCCAGTGCGTAGAGTACGAATTGAGCTGACCTTGGCACGCACAGTAGAGATTGAGCCATCAGATGACTAGTTTCAATGTCATATTGAGTCACAGGCATGCCACGAGCTTCGCCAAGATGGAAACGGTCGGAGCAATTTCGAAGCAGTTCAAATTTACGTGATTATCGAGAACGTACACTCCTGAGGATATCAAGGAATTTGTAAAGTTTTAGGCGCACCATCATTACTGTTGCACTATAATATGAGGCAGGTTGGCATTCCTGCCCACGAAAGCCAAACCAAAAGGACGTCTATGCGAGTAATACTCATTGAGATATGTTCGTCGCAGGCGACGACCGAAAATGCGGTATGCCAGTGGAGGGTCGGAAACGAGTCTATTATTATGACATCAGCTATGCCCGGACAGTAGCCACACTATTAGCTTACCATACTTGATGTTTGCATTTATTTACCTCAGCTTCACCTGCAGCACACAATAAATGTGCAAGCCATAAACGAGGCTCAGCCCTGTCTGGTGATTGTGTAAGTCGTCAAGCTCTTACAGGTCGCATGCGAAGCCCGGTAATAGAATTTTTATTCTAAACAGCATACATCTCGACATGATAAAGTCTCGTCGAGAACGAGGTGAGGAAAGTGTCCGTTAATCGCCGGAGCAAGATCCTCAGTCGGAATCAGAGCCAACAATTCAGAAGACTACCTGCCATGAGATTCTAGTATGATGTTGTATACGGCAAAGGCAAAGACGACGTATATACCGCAACGCAAACGAGTGGTCCACGGTGCAGTTATTCTGAAAGCCTAACTATGTCCTTATGTCCTTCCAACGATATCTCACCGATCACTTGAATGCCTTGCGCGGTACCCCCGGACTGCTCCTCACAAGGACTAAAAATTCTAGCAAAGTAGACATGGAGTTCTTCTGGACGAGCGAGCGGCACACGCAGAGACAGTATGCCGTCTGGCCGAACGACGACGATCGCTCCTTCGTCCGCTTCACACCATATCTGTCAAACGCCTCCCCCGCATGATCACAGACGGCCCTTTCCCAGTGGCTCTGCACCGAGGGCCTCGGAAGTCTGCGCTGCGTGATCTCCTTGTATGACCTTGAGCTACGAGAACGCGAGGGCACACGTCTACGCGACAGAGTGCTGAGACCGCGATGTGCTCGCGGAGAGCACTGTACTTCTGCTGATTTGTCGTGGGCAGGTGTGCTGCGTCCTGCGAGACTTGCAGTGCGCCCGCCCAGATCAAGATCCAAAAGCGCCCTCGATACGGTGTGAACTCATGCGAGCGGCGCGGAATGAGGAGCTTAGTTCGCACACTAGGGCATCTGAAGCGCGTGCGTCTATCAGACGAGACCGAGCTGCGGAGTTAAAGTGATTGGTATGAGATGCCCAGGCTGACGGTGGGCGTAAAGTTCATATTGAAGACCTGCTTGAGATAGGCATTGACATCGGCGTCCGGAGCCGGGTTGTAATGCGCAGGAATTTCGCCCGACATGAGGGAGGCGATATCTCGTTCGAGCTGGATGAGATGCAGAGCAGACGTACGCCGTTCAGAATCGTGAGTATCGAGGATCTCTTCGGGGAACCAGCCTTTGAGAACGCCAGCCAGCTTCCATGCGAGGTTCGTGGCGTCATGTACGTCGGTGGTCACTCCCTCAAGACGAGATCAGCGGCGAACGTTGGAGAGGGAAATCCTCAAGTACCTGCGCAGTGCCAGACGAGTGTATATGCGCCGCATCTCCAGCTAGGAATACGCGTCCCTTTCTGAAGGTCTCGGCGACTCGCTGGCCGATCTCGTATACCGTCCACCAGTCGACTTTCACAAATTCACATGAGCGGCTCCACCGCCTTTCCCGTCTTCGCAGTGGCGTTCTCGCTGTGTTCGCCATACAGCGCATCGGAGCACACGAACCCGATCCTCGTGCGGCCATTGTCGGTTGGCGTCCAGAGCACGTTCCCATGGTGGCGCGACTCAATCGAGACGCCGCCTCTCCTGCTTTCAGACATGTTGGTGACAACCACCGCATCGAGACGGACCTATTCGTTTTTGGATGATGTTCCAAGAAAAGGTATCCCGCTCAGAGCCCGTACGGTGGATCTACCACCATCAGCTCCAATGAGATATTTGCTGCAAGGTACGTTCTTAGAGTCATGAATCTTTTACGAATAATGTGATGCTTACTAATGAACTGTTGCTCGCTCGGAGCCGAGTTGCTCTGAGGCAGCGATAAGATAATCCGGAGAGTCGCTGACGATGTAATCGACCAACTGAGCAGGGGCATGTACTGCGCCTTTGTCGATCTCGATGATGGCATCGCGAAGAGCATCTTCAACATACTTCTGGAGGATGCTGAAGCTGTAGAGTGCAGAATGAGCAAGCGACGAGGACGATCTTGAAAGCTGAAGGAAAACGAACCTATAGTCGGAAAGGTGTTCCCTTCGATCGCCTCTTAAACGAAGGTCCAACCTCTCGCCTGGACCTTATTGCTATCCCTGTATGTGGCTACATCTCTGTTCGATAGTCAGCTACCTGCTTCACGTGTCTGGACCCGAACTGAAGTACTGACCTTATGACGACGCCGATATCAGCGATCCAGTCATAAACGCCGATGAGACTGAGCAGCTCTAGCGATCGAGCATGCAACATACAGGCGCGGCTACACAATGCCTGCTCAGACTTGTGATACTGCTCTATAGACAATGTGAATCAAACGCGGCAGGAGAGGTACTGAAGACATACCGACGGCTAGAACGTTGATGCCAGCTTTAGCGAGTACGAGTTGGTCCACCACCGACTAGAGCACGTCGAATGTTTTGGGTATGATCGCTTGAGATGCCATTTGATGAACGACGGCGACTGCCCGCAAAGAGAGAAGTGCTTTAAGTGTCGGTGCATACTGGCACGAATTTGCATCGTGTATCACAGGAACTCCCCTCCGAAATCGCCGTAGATGCTTCAGAGCATATCATCGGTTTCAACATGAGCAATGATGCATGCCGAGGATGTCCAAACCCTTTGCAATAGCATCTACCGATCGGAAGCAAACTGAATCGAGGATGCTGGAGAACCTGCATTCCTACACCGTCACGGAGCCGTGTCGCGTTCCACTGAAGATTTTTCAACATCTCAGCTAACTATCCTCAGGTTAGTGATTCGTCCCCATCATGCCCGTCAAGCCCTAGCAAGATATGCTGCCGAGTACTGCATGCTGACATGCATGGGGAGAACAGTTGAGACTTGTGGCCTCTGTGACTGCGCAGTGGGCGGCTTCCAGCATCGTGACCTGCGTGACATCCTTGTGACATTGAGATAACGCGCTAGCGCCGGTAGCAAGAGCCTGTTCGATTCGAATTTTGTCTAACCTCTCCTGGAGTCCTGCCCTCTATCGTTTGACTGACAACAGTGCCGCCCCCTTACAGTCTCCATGCGCTGGCATATGCCCTTGTATCTGTTATTTTTTGCATTCTCTGCGGCCGTCTAGTCTCATATCTGTCGGAAGGCTCTAAATGGCTGGTTGATCTTACCAGTAAATCAATACGCAGTGTCTTTCATGTTCGCATGGCCTGTATTCTTTGACGCCGGCATCTCAATTGCTGTACAAATTATGCACCTCTTCTCACTTGGGCTCAGAATGCTTTGCTCCGCCTGACGGTGGTTACAGTCTTTTTCGGTTGTTGTGATAACACTGGTTTATTCCGCTAGGAGCAATCTTGCAGACCTCCGTCAGGGCCTGGATGTCTACAGTCTCTGTCTGGTGTTCCATATGCGGCCTCTATCCCGTGCTGGCAACGTATATTGGCATGCCCTGTCTTGGGAGCGCGAGGCTCGTCTTCGACTTGCCGGCAGTTCCAGTCTCACTGTCTCTGCGCCGTCCTCGCTCCTCACTGCGTTCATCTCACTTTTCCTACTCGAGCTCCATCGCCGCCCCGACCCGTTGGCCGCCACGTCGCGCATTCTCTATCATGGCGCACGTTTGTAACAACCTGTTTGACTACACGTCAGGGCGGTGGATGTTAGTCTCATACATGTTATTTCATGGGGTATATGTCTAACCCGTAATCTAATATGTTCAGCATCAACGATGTCCTTCGCCACGGAGAGCGCAGACGTGTCTTCAACGTCGATGGGCTACGTCGACTTGCAGCTCAGTCCGTCGATCGGAGTCCTGATGATATCATCGACCTGAAAAAAACTCGCCGAGGGTGGGTTTAACCGTACCTTCCTCATCACCATGCGCGATGGATTCCAAATGGTGGCGCGTATCCCATACCCGGCTACGATTCCCAAGTACTTCACTATCGCTAATGAAGTGGCTACTATGGCCTTACTCCGTTCCTCTGGGCTGCCTATACCTGAGGTATACGGATACTCTCCTGCGCCGGACAACGCGGCAGGGACCGAGTATATCTTTATGGAATTCGTTGAAGGCACTAGCTTGAGCGACATATGGTTTGGTCTAGGGGAAGGGGACATTATTTCAATCTCACGCCAACTTGCTGAACTCGAGTCGAAGATGATGTCGATTGCTTTCCCGGCTGGCGGAAGCCTGTACTATGCAAAAGACTTGGAGAAGGTGGCCGGGAGGCCGGGCATCCCGCTAGAGGACGAGCATTTCTGCGTCGGTCCAGATACAAGACTGCCTCTGTGGTATGGCAGGAGATCACAGCTCGATGTAGATCGAGGACCATGTAGGCTGCTCTCTGCCTTTTTATTATTCCTTCCTTAAACTAACTGACAACTGTAGATGAAAGTGCCGAAGCAGCACTCGTAAGAGGAGCCGAAAAGGAACTAGCTTATCTGGAGCAGTTCGGTCGACCGCTGTTGCCGTTCCAGCGCGTAAGGAGGGAAGGTTACCGGTACCAGGAGCAGCCGCCGTCGGATCACATCGAGAACCTGCACCGCTATCTCCTCATCGCGTCGTCACTCATTCCTAGGAACCCGGCCCTCGGTCATTTTTGCATCCGGCATCCCGACCCCCAGCCGAGCAATATCATCGTTTCCAGGTCGCCCGACTCTAACCTGCACATCGTCGGCCTGATCGACTGGCAACACCCAACGGCTACAGAACTACGATGATCCTATCTCGCAATTTATGACGCGGCCTTCGCTACCGGAGAATTTGGATGACTTGGACGAAACCCAGCAAAGCCGAGAGAAGGAACTCTATCGTCGCCGTCTCGTCCATTACCACTACGTCAAAAACACGGAGGAGTACAATGAGCTTCATTATGTGGCATTGACGGAAGCCATGGGCATGCTCCGCCGCCGCCTCTTCTGCTACGCCAGTGACCCATGGGAGGGTGAAACTCTCGCGCTGAAGGTTGCGCTGATAGAAGCAACGGAGAACTGGGAGACGCTTACGGGGGGAGGCCCGCCGTGTCCTGTCGTGTTCGACGCCGAGGACGTACGCGAGACGATGGAGCTGGATGCAGAACAGAGAGGAGCGGACGAGACTCTAGAGGCGTGCCGGAACATGATCGGCTGCGGGCCGGAGGGCTGGGCGCCCACCGAGCGCTATGAGGAGGTCATGACACGCAGCAAGCAGCTGAAGGAGGATACATTGGCGGAGGCCAGGTCGGAGGAGGAACGGGCTCAGATCGCGGCGCACTGGCCCTTGGACGACATGGACGAAAAGGAATACATGTAATGAATCAAGCCAGCTATTCTGGCCCCCCGTAGGAACTCCCACTCTTTCACTAGCCCTTTCGATCCCGTTCCCCGTAGGAGAGAAGTGATATCGGCAGGAAACTTCTTATAGGGGGACGCCGCCGTCCTTCAGCTTCCTAAACAGGCATCTTCACATCCGATCGCACTTGTTTGTGATCGATTGATCGTTCGCGCTAGCTGTGGCGTGTGGCACATTCGCAATCTATAGATCGAACTAGTGGCGTTTCTATCACGAGGCAGAATAAAACTGCGAACGATTCCAGCAGCAGCCCGGGCCACGGATTCATCGCAAGACGTGCTTCTGATAGAAGACCTGCATGCCGTCCTGACACTCCTTGCTATCCGTCGTACCCTCCCTCTCGTGCCGCCTCAACGTCTCCCTAAGATCCTCCGGCAGCCGTTCAAGCAGCGCATTTGTACCCTTCATCCACAGCTCCATAGATGCGCTCGCATTTCCTATGATCAGATGCTTCATGCCACTGGGGCGATGATGTATGGCATAGTGAATGGCCAGCATGCCACCCCAGGGATGAGAGGGCGAACGCCCGATTTCAGGTCTCCAGTGACCTTGTACCAGGTGTTGTAGGTCTCGCCGCCGTAGATGAAAGGAATGACGCCGGTAATCTCAGACATGTTGATTGTTGCCGGTACCATTCGTAAAAATAACAGAAGAAGCGTCCGGCAGCTTTCTTAAGAGAGATGAGAGCCACAACGTCATCGGTAAAGTAGTTGTAGCGAGTGCCATACCCAAGCGGAGTTGCGTTCCCTAAAACGAATGCGTTGTGATTCATCTGATATTGTTTCTTCCGCCGGTCTCAAGGAGGAACCTTCTTGGAAGCATCACTCAACAGACCTTCGAGAAGTCGCTAAGACGCCTTATTCAGTGACATTAGGTTCTAGCGCTCCGATATCGGCATCTGGAAACATCGGAAAGTCCATTCAGGCCCCTTATACAATAAAGCCGTCTTTCGTTGTGGGTGTCAATGGGTGCGTGAGAGCAACGACTTGCAAATGCTCTCATGCTGATCAATTGCAATAATTTTCATCGTTGTAAGGCCTTTTCATATTCTAGAAGACGCATAAACTTGATAAGTGGACATCAACTCACCAATCTCAGTGTAAAAAGAAAGTTGCTTTATAGCTGATGACCACGTTGCATATTTGCGATGGTGAGCCATGCCGCAGGCTCAAACCCATTCCACTGATCTGAATCTCCGGGTCTACAAGTGAAGCGTGAAGAAGCCCTGAAACTGTCCGATAATCCCGTGCTGTCGAGTTTCCTGTGCTTCTGCGAAAATGGTGCACCCTTTCTATCAACTTCTTCACCATGAGCGGTCCAATCTGAGCGCTCGCCTTCTGGGACAAGTCTTTCCGCCTAATCCAACTCGGAAAGGGCGTTTCATGTGTTCCCTTGAGCTCATCGTACTTCCCATGGCAAGGTTTGATGATACGCCTCAAGTGAGAGGTAACGCTGATAACAAGACAGCTTGGAGACGCGTATGTAGGGATGGGGCAGGAGATCAGCGGGTGTTTCGTGATACGCAAGCAGGGTGCATTCATAATGAGGGGTCTGGCGAGAGAGATCAACGACTTGCGATGCTGCGGAGTATGTCTCATGCAATTGGGCCAGAAGCGCTCTCGCAAGATAAGACGTGTTTCTTTTTCCTTTGGCTTCATCCGAGTCGGGTTCCTCATGCGGCGTCTCGGATGCACTTAGAGCGGCGATGTAAAAGCCGATACCTTCTTCCGAAGATGAAACATGATGGGAAAGCACATCGTGAGATCGCACATGTCAAGTCCCATATCAGAAACAACCTTTCTGTCAGGAGATATCGCAACACGGCGAAGAGTTTGAGTATGGGTGCGGAGAGAGTAGGTCTTGTCTATGAAACGTCGATAGTCGAAGAATTTTGAATTGATGTAACATTTCTCTCTCGCAGTGATAATTAGGGTGAGGCTGTGTTACTAACTATGAAAGTAGTTATCGTGGTGCTCACCTCGTTGACGACGCTCAAAGATGGCTTGCTAGTTTGTCAGAAGCAGCCCCATTCTCTCCCGTCGCCCGTGCTCAGTCCCCTCGTTCCGCAAGAAAATGCGGACAGATCGATAAATCTGAATATTCTTTGTGCACAGGCCAAACCCTGTGCTAAATGGCTTTGTCGCGCAATGGAGTGACCGAGTCGGGCGATCGGGTGCCTGATGCTATTGCGTCGTTGATCGCAGTGATGAACTCCTACGCTTTTCCATGATGTCTTCATCCTACATACGTCGGGTGTTTTTTAAAATGGCTTTGTTGGAGGTGTGAGGTACATTTAAGTATGGTAGCGGCCGGATATCAACTGATAAAAGAGAGCGCATACGATCATTATTCTCGGCAATCTCCGCATCTGAATCATACAATATGGCTGAAGAGCTGCATGTTCTGCCCCACTGCGCTCATGTCTTCTCTTCAATCGTCGCCTACGCGGCTAGTCTTCAAACTTGGCTCGGTTTTAGGATATGGCTCCTATGTGAGTGAATTCGCGTGCAAGGATTAAATTGAATCAATTACTCTGATGTCCTGCAGGGCATGGTGTACAACGCCACGAAAGAAGGAGAGAATGTCTCGGATAGCGTGGCAGTGAAGAAATCACGCGTTTCTCTACACCGCAAACGTACGATGCTTCAGCATGAAAGTCGGGTATTGCAGCTTTTGCAAGGCCATCCAGCGATTCCGGCAGTGTATGCCTATGGTCGGTTCGAACATTTCGAATACCTTGCGATGGAGCGGCTTGGCCCCAGTGTGATGGACCTGATGCAGCACTCCAGTGGTGCACCACTGAAGACAGTTTTACTTATTGCTAATCAGATGGTAGGACATTTCATTTCTCAGCATACGTGTTATCTCTAAATGATGAGATTTCCGTAGCTTTCAGCCTTGGAACATATACACTCGCATGGGATCATACATCGAGACATCAAGCCTGAGAACATTCTCCTCTCTGTGCAAGACCCCAATGGTGTGCGACTGATTGACTTCGGTATAGCTCGTCGTTACAAGACGGGCATTCCATCTCAGTATGACCCAATCGTTGAGCGAAAAAGCATCGTGGGTACACTTACCTGGGCCAGTCTCAATGCACATTATGGAATAGGTAAGTGTTGTGTGGCAAATGCGTTCCTCATTTCTCAATTGTGTGTTTCCCAGATCTTTCCCGTCGTGATGACCTCGAATCACTTGCATATACTTTATTCTTTCTCTTGAGAGGCGATCTACCTTGGCGAAAGGCCCTTCGTTATCAAGGCACCGCCATCGCTAACATGTTGCAGGCCCGTGAACAGAAGAAGATTTGGACTGGGATTAAATTAGCAAAAGGATACCCGTCAGAGTTTGCCGAGTTCCTCGACTATGCCCGTTCTCTGAGTTTCGGGGACGAGCCAGACTACTCTCATTTTTCACGCATGTTTACGGATCTGTACCGCCGCTCTGCATTCGAGGACGATGAAATGCTCGTTTGGTCTTCATCTTCGCCTGGTATGTTCAATTTTGTGCAATCGATCATTGCTGAACTCTGTATCAGTTTCTGCTGACAGAAACTCGACTTCTCATCAGAGGACCGACAGTCAAGGTCCGATTCTGACCCCTGGTCAGCTGATATACGTCGAGGTTCTAGCTGGTCTCACACTTCAAGGCATCCCGAAGCTGAACGATTCGAACGTCTGGTACGATCCATCCCTTTTTCGAGACAAGTGGCTATTTCCGCCGAGGCCCGCTGTCGTAATCAAGAGTCATTTTAACACCGATGAACGCCGACGCTATGTAAAAGTGGCACCTCTCACATGCGGTCAACCTCCAAGCACCATGCCATCAGTGCGCATCGCACGGGATGTGGACCCACCAGAAACAAGTGAATCTGCCAAAATTCGCACTCGCCCAGCTTGGCCTATTCCGTATACATACTGCTATGCCTTTGCCAAGTTGAATACCTTCATTGCTGTTGATGATCAGGTATGGAGGAGATGTAATTCTCCGAAGCTTTCTGACTAGTTCTATCCAGCCTGTTCCTGCATTTTATCAAGTTGATCCCGATGTGGTCAAGCTCCTGGAAGATACATTCACCGCCGCAGACCAGGTCAAGATGCCGAACGAAGAGGACACGAGAGCGTACGATAGCATGGAGAAGCGCGGCACATTCCCCGTATTCGCACGTATCACGCCCCTACGGTCCGACAGCATCGAAAAAGCGCGCGAAGAGTGGTCTGGAACGCGCGGGTGGTTCGATGAGCTCACCAAAATTGGCAGACGTCAAGCTTTAGAGGACGGATGGCCATGGACCGGGACTCCAGAGGCCCTTGTTAAGGGACAAGATGGAGGATCCGTTGAGGAGTTGTCTGACAGTTACTACGGCTACGATATCGCAGACTGGGAGCTGCAGGGTGAGCGCGATGTCTCCCTGACGTTATCATCGGGGGAAACAGAGATGTTGGATGCGCAGATTCAGCGCATCGATGAGATCATCAAAATTTGAAATGGATGGTCTTCATGATTGGGATGGAACGCGGATGACGACTGATTGAGCTGATGATAGGCTGCTTGTGTCGGACATCTTAGCTTATCATCAATATTACTGATGCTTCAGACGTGTATTCGGTGCGCTTCCTCGTCACTGATGTTACTATATTCCAGATACACATTGAGGTGACATAAAATGAACACAGTAGTACCGTAGAAAAACAGCTTTCAAGAAGACCCGCTCACGGTTCCACGACCCATAATCGTTCGGACAGTCGGCTAGGTTGTTGTAAGCTAAGTAACGATCTGCGTGCCTTTTATCAACGTGCGTTCCATTGCTGAGCCGACACATATGCTATTGTATGAAAGAGGCGGCAAGCTAAAACCCCAATAACAACTTTCAAACTTTTCACACTAACACTGATGTAGACGAATCATGGAGCGATTTACAGCTCATTGGTGCACTCCTACGACGGACGAATGTCACCCCGCTTTCACAAGGCTCCCAGCATGTGGACATGCTTCGTATGTCACAGACTAATTCGAGGTTTTTGTTGTTTCCATTCATCAGTTTTCCATCAGACGACTATCTTTTTTCGGATATCTGCGAAGAAATGTTCAGTGACGGTACTCCGTACGAATGGAATGGCCTAGCGCTCAGCAAATATTATATATACCCGCCGTGGTACTCAGCGTTGAGCAGCACCAGATCATTTGCAAGATGACGGAAACCAAAGTTACTACGGCTCTCAAAGACCTCCGGGTCGGCGATATGATCTGGGTGAAAGCCACTGTCAATAAAGCGGACTTGGCGAACCCAGCGGCCACCTCAGCCACAACGAAGGCGTGAGTATCTATATGACATGTTCTACCTCTCACTCCATCTCACTGCAGGCTTACTCACATATGCATTTACAGTGTCTTGCAAGGCAAACATGTAAAGCGCCTCTGTGTCGTTCTCATTGAAGGGACCACGAGTGTCGTAGTGACCTATCTCACGACCTTTGGAGACTCGGCCGCCCTGCCCACCCGTTTCACTGATAAATCGTACTGGTACCCGTCAGTCCAGCGACGAAGGAAGGTCCGTTTAATGCCCTCCCCTCCATCAATGATAGAGCGCAATGGGTTAGCTTGCGCCAAAAGCAGACAATATTTGACGATCCGGTGCGTTTGATCTTGACCATAAAACATATTGCTCTGAGTTAATTCATTCTGGGATTCGCAGGTCCCGAAGGTCGCATCTAGGTTTACGTCGTCTTCCATCCGGCTCATACTCAATGCGATGAAGGAGTGATTGGTGATGAGCGCAGTTGCGAAACTGGCTCCAGGAAGAACTGGCGTGCCGAGACATCGGTGTTACATTCAGCGCTTTTTCCTTGTTAGTCGAACCTTCTCTTCTGACAGTATGGCAGTGTAAGTCATGTAACCTCCCCAATGATTCTCGACCAGAGCTCCGAGTCAACAGCGTGAATACATTCTTACTTTGCCATCATAGTATACGTGTTGCGTATCCACGACAAATGAACTCCTCCGCATCCTTCTAAGTATAACCGAGGACAGACAGATTTTCGGCCTGCCATCCGAGAGGGTGCGCAAGGTCTCGATTGCACATTAGGTACGTGAACACACACAGAAACATCTCATCGATTCGAAGTCAATTCATCACTATGCCGCATTATACGACGGAACTCGATAAGTCGACTAGCGTGCTGGGGCAGTAAGAGGCGTCACAGCGCTATAGCGAGTATGCAGCACATCACCTTAGGCCCGCCTGCTAGATAGCGCCACAATTTTTGAAGATGGGCGCTATCGTTAGCTACGTCGTTCGACTGCTCGCCGTACTCGTTGAGTGCTATGACGACAAGAACTGTCTGCCGCGTATTCCGATATCAATTTTCGGTTGTGGGAGACGTTCATCAAGTTCCGCCGAAGTACATCGCTGCAGCGACTCTGGCCATGCCATCTATGCTAAGCCTCATTTGCAATCCCGTGTTGATCTTAAGTCTGCTCGAAAAAAAGAGAGGCCAAGTGCTCCGCCGACAGATTGCATTTGATCCTAAATCACAGAGATACGCAGGCGTGGGATCATGGAGAGATGCAAAGAATGCTGATTCGCAATTATCAGGCATAGAATCGTTGTGCCATGTTGAAAATATCGCGCAGGACATTGACACAGCTCGAAAACAATAATATATGTGTCCTATGACTATGCTTCATGGACGTTGCGATCGTCCCCTCCCCCCAGTATTCGAAAACGGACGGCATGCGCTATGAGTTATTCGAGTATGACAACGCACTTCGTGAGTTACTGTCGGATCGCCTTCTTACGGGACGTCACAATAACCACGCGTTACCACTCTGTCGGACTCCCATGTTCCAGAATACCGCGACAGGGGAAGCACACCAATCTGATTATGATGAAGAAAACAATTCTAGACAAGATATTTCATATTGTCTGACTTCTCATGATGCACCGATTTTGCCTATCTGATAGCCTTCAAGACAGCAATACAGTGCCCGGATAATCAAGATTCGATCCCAAATTATACTGAAGCAGGAGCTAACACGGAGAGGCCATCTGTTAATTGTTCATCTTCAACCGTATGTCTGAGTATCGTCTCACAAAAAGCATGGATGATGCCTACCGTGACACGGTGTGCAAACTTTATCAAGGCATTGATGACCTCATCATGAAACTCATAATAGAGTGCATGGCCCCATTCTCGACCATATGGACCTCAAGGTCCTTGAAGTACGGACTCATCTCCTGCACGACGACGTCACCGAAGACCTGTTTATCGGCAGTTCCGTTCAAAATGAGCATCGGCAGACCATCCCGCCCGGCTTCGAACAGCTTAGTGGGATCTTGTTCACGAGTGAGGATAGAGTTGGCGACATCCGGAGGCTGGAGGGTCGCTTGTCCGATCCAGGACGTCTTGACGTTGCAGTCGGCTTTGTCTGGATACGTGAAGAGGGAGTCTATGAATGCAACTTTTGTGCGTCCATTCAGAGCGACATCGGTGGTGTTCATGAGCCCCGGAAGGAATCCGAGGACAGTCGGAGTTCCGACTCGCTGCATGATAGTTCCAACGTACGGCAGCGCAGCCATGTAGATGATGCCCACGATGGGGTTCGGCTCAAGATGGGCGCAGACGTCAGCGGCTACGGTGCCTAAAGTAGCTCGTCAGATACTTCGCCGTCGCTGCACAGGGTCACTCACATCCATAGCTCCTGCAAATATGAGCGACAGGTTAGTTCCACATATGTGAGCCGTGCGCATGATGACGAACCACCCAACGTGTACAACATTCTTGATATTGAATGCACGAATAATAGCAGCGTAGTCGTCTGCGAAGAGCGACGAGATGTAGCTCTCTGGATTGGAAGGCATGCCGCTTCTACCGTGGCCGCGCATATCGTACCGAACCTGTCATGTCAGGCGGTCAACGACGATGTATGAGTATTTCAGCCAGCAGAAACAGGACTTTCCAGATAGAAAATATCAAGCAAACGGCTTTCCTTGAAGAGGCTGTCAAATGCAGCTGCAGAGAGGTTCAAGCCGTGCACAAAGATGATGCATGGCTTCTGGGCATTTCCGACAGCCTCAGCATAGATGGATGTGCCATCGCTGGACTGCACGATCTTGACAATCGGAGTAGTGGCCATGACAATATGTCGAGAGCGTCGACGACAAGGCCTGAGATAACAGTGGTGTCGACAGTGGGACAGAACATCAACGCCGAAGTCTATGGTAGGAGCTTGAAAGCTATTCCGATTCCGAAGTGCTGTGTAGCGGTCTCTCCTTGATGCGGAGTAGATCAAATAAACAAATTCAGTGCCCATTCTCTCGGTAAACCACGGTTTCGTGTTTCTCTGGGCTTCCGCTGCGAACCAGAGCCTTCTTCTCTCGCTGATGTGTAGAGTCTGCACTCCAAACGTTTAAAGAGAAGAAGATAGGGAAAAATAAACTTGACGAGACGGAGAGGTGTCGATGAAGTCCACTTGCGCGGTGTGTTTCGGAACCGGGCATCGACGACCTGAAGCGATCCTCTAGCGCATATCGTAACTGTGAGACTGCGCCTTCATCCGCTCCTACGGCACTGTTGTTAAAGCTCTCACTATCATCCACGTAGTAGTACTTGAGGGGATAATATTCCAAGCTAGCGAGAGATGAGAAATCTGTATCCGCCAGCACTGATTTTTTTCAGTTGTTGACCGAAACTACGCTCTACGTTTCTCGTGATTGTCCTTACCAGTCATTGAAAGTACGGCTCGTTTCTCCCTTCACACGGGCGTGACCGATGAGTATTCTCTTAAATCAGAACATCGATGGACCTGAAATAGAATGTGTCAGCCGCCGCTTCAGCAATAGCAAGAGGCGCTGATGGATACAATTGCGAAAGCAGACAAGATATTGAAGTACTGGTTCTCTTCGTAGAATGGCACCCGGAGATTCGAGGGTTTTCCGTGGAGATGCGTTAACAGCCCGACGTCAATTTGGTAACAGAACACGATCCATATGGCATTTCTCTTCGTGAGTGAACATGTGATGTGAGAGATACCACGACCGCTGCATAAGGTCTCTAGTGGATGCATGTCACTCTAAACATCTCCTAACGATCTTGTTCCAGAGTACGAAACACCTCACCGTCGTAGAAGGAGGCAATCATCCCCGCACGTCCCAACATGCTAGCAGTGGGAAAGCGGGAGAAGATGATCTGCTACAGGGGTTATTTGGCTCGGCCTAGTACCGTAGAACCCGAAGTTACGGCCAGAAGAGCTTGCAGAACTCAGTTCGGTGATGGAAGTCTGATGGTTTCATTGGTAATCTTAGTCGCTTCGGCGGTCATGCTCAACCAGCATAGTTCATTCGCGGTACACGCATGGTACTTTGATGAAGAGGAACCTCTGAACCAATTATGTTGAAAGATCTGTTCAGAAGGCACAGAATGTGATCGCTCACCTGTTCCGCTCGACCTCCCAGTTAAGGATTGCCGCCGCTCTGATAAGGACTTACGATCAATTGAAGGGACATGAAGAGTGTGAGAAAAAAGAATCTGCGTAAAGCACCAGCGTGACCAGATAGATTCGACTATAGCCCCAGTAATAATTGTCGACAACGCCTTGGTGAATAAGCATTCGCAAGAATTCCTTGCTATCGTCCAGTGACAAAACTCGGTTACGGCAATGTTCGACCGCTCTGAACGCTAGCGGCATGATACGATTTGAACGTACGGCAGGATTTCAAAATAGACGACACAAGTTAGGATCGCAGGATCGCGTTCAATAGACGCCGTTAAGTGACCTGTGACATTTGCACGACCGAGCTGCGTCACGCGTAGTGCGCAGTGTGACACTGCGTCAGTTACGATCGGTACTAGATCTAGCATGTTGACCAATTTCGCGGAAGCATACAGAGGTCATGAATAAAAAGGCTGCTGTACACAACACACCGTCAAGTAGTCTGCACTTCAGAATGTATAGCAGACCTTTACGCGTGCACCCATTCAAGTTATCCGACATTGTGCCCGACGCAGAGCTTCTCGCTACCTTGGAAGCAGGCGAGCAACTCGTAGCTAAAGCTGCTGCCATGATTCGTTTCCGGGTTTGTACTGTGCCTGCTCTGGCAACGACCCTCAACTTTATATGCCTCTTTGGTTCAACTACAAGCTTCTCTATAGCGAAGCATTCTTATAGTGGTTGGATATGGCCGTTCACATCACAGCGTTGCGTGATCTCGAATAGTTTGCGCATTTGACGACTATGCCATTGACTATATGCCAGGACACGAAGAAATTGTCGCCCAGTTTGCGTTCCATTGGAGAGTAAAGGTGAGAAGGCCTCAATGATCATTACAAAAGACTGAGATGCGGACCAGAATTATTTCAGTTGCAACTCTTCCGCCAGGATTTGCAGAGCCTACAGCACGAAGAATTTTCAGCATGAACAAACATCAATGGAAAGTTTAAGGTTACCAGATGTTTACTGAAGAATCGACCGTGTTGGAAGGAACCCATCGCAACCCACAGCCCTTGCTGTCCGGATGGCCTGAAGCACCGATTCAGCTCGCCCTCCTCATCCAATCCCCAAATCTTGGAACCGATCTTGTCGGTGATCGATGGCCCGAATATCTCAACGATGTTGTTGATTACAGGGAGATAACCCGTCCTATATAGCGTTGTCAGTCCACATACTTCATCCGCCAGCGAAGTCTCGCACCCAAGAACCACTACGTCAGCTAGAGTCTTCGTTCCGTCGTTGAAGACCACGCCATCCTCCTCGAAGCGAGCGATTTCTCCATTCTTGACCTGTCCCGCAGGCTCAGTGGTGCTCTGAGGCGTAGTCGCATGTGGACACACCTTCACTTTGCCGTCGATGATCAACTGAGCGCAACCCTGGTCCAGCACTGTCATGGTATATCAGCTTAGGAAAGCCGATGATGGCATGGGACTCACTGGTTCCGGACGCAGTCCGCTCGAAGAAAAAGCCTTGCAGGCCGACCTCGCCGCCGCCAGGAGTCAGTTCCCACGTCAGCTTGAAGCCGGCCTTGGCTAGTCCATCGAGCATCCCCTTGTCCAGCGCTTTCACCCTTTGAGTCCCGCCGGCTGCGGCCAACTTCAACGCGAGGGCGTGAGGCATCGAATGGTTGCTAAAATCAGCGTCCTCTATCGCGAATTTCTCATTGAAAATGACATCAAAGATGATTCTATCCGCGGTACTGGCTGCCATAACGCACGTCGGACTGCGCTGCACCATCGTGACCTAAACGTATGGCAGTCCGTCAAACTCGGGACCACGGAAGACGACTGGGAAGCGTACGCTCTCAGCGCCTTTAGCGAAGAAATCAATGCAAAGATCATGCCCGGCGTTGCACTGGACATCAAAAAGAAGTCAACAGAGATGAAAGAGTATGGAACGAGAAGGCGACACACAGAACCAACGACGACGACACGCTTTCCGCGGTAAGGTGCCGCGCCACGATGTTGATCTGAGTGGTAGAGCACTCCCTTAAATTTGTCCACGTCTTTGAACGCAGGAGTGTACGGCTTCCCCGTGCCAGTAGCCATGATGACGTGTTTCGGCTTCAGCGACACTTTCTCTCCCTGCCGATCAATAGTGATGCTCCATCGTCCGGTGGCAGCATCATACGTAGGGATTGGTAGCACGGTGCTCAACGTCCATATCACGACCTCCTGGCCGATTGCATAGGCCTCAATGAAGTCGGCGACCTTTTCCTTCGGAACGTATTTCGGAAATGTCTTTCTACAAAGCAAGTTCGTATCTGAGTTCCAGTGTTCCACTCCAGAACGAGGTGACTTACGGCCATGGTTGATATAGAACTGTAAATCGAGAAGCGTTACACCGAAGATCATATAACATGATATTCAGACTCACCAGAGCAGTGATGCGCACTGGTGTGCAATGTCAAATTGGGATAGCTGCCATGTCGTTAGATCGGGTGATGCATCTGGTTGGTGATGAGACAGTACCGTTTTCTCCATACGTCGCCGACACGCCCAGACTTCTCCACTACCAGTGCACGAATGCCCAGTCTACCAAGCCGTGCTGCACACATCAGGCCGGTCTGACCGCCACCGACTAATGCAGGTGTTAGAAAAATACGGCAAGTAAAGCGTGCATCTTGACGTACCTATTACTACAGTAGGATCTTGCTCAACTTCAACTACCTTCTGCGCGTAGACCTCCTCCCAGGTCGCGTGGTTCGGATACAACCCAAGAGGTCGACCGCGCGGTTCCTCGTGGCCCTTGAGGTCTTCAAGGTTCATGAATATGGCAAACGCCTTCCACTGCCCATTCGGATCCGGAACGAGGCGGAGGAAGCCTCTTCCTACGGCCGCGGGTGATGTGAGAGAGAACTCAAAGGTGCCTTGAATTCCTCGAGCGTCGGGGTTCGACGGTATGGGGAAGAACGTGGGAGGGCCCAGGGTGGACGTAGTCTGGACACGGATGTTATGCAGCCCTGCGCGAGCAAGCCTTGTCTGATCCTGATCTCCGACACGCTCAGAGAGATATGCTGCGAGCTTCTCGTGCCCAGCAAGCGATCTGAAATCCCATGAAAAGCACAAGAGATCTGTGAACGGGGTAGTCATATAAGCAGCTGGACGACTCGAGCAGCGTTTTGTATACCTCTCATCCAACCCGTAGGAAGAAAGTGATCCACGAAGGACGTCACGTCTGCCTTGGCTGCAGCCTCGCTGAGACTTTCAATCCATCGCGTTGCCACAACAAGCGGGTCGATCTGAGGAGTGGCCATAAGTTGGGAGAGGCGATAACAGGAGTAGACGTCGAGAGCTCCAATCTCGCTTGAGAGAAAGCCTTCTGCGAGGCAGTATATATGATGGACCAGACAAGACCATGGAAATTGCTGATACGAACAATCGGCCGTATGCAAGAGCCCGAAGCACGTACGTGAGAGACTCTGATAGCCTTGCGCAGTTCCAGATGTTCTGATGACGAGCGCGACACGTTGAACCGGCAGAGGGAGGGTCAAGATCCGCCGGATATGGCAAGTCGAAATGAACGTCAACCGGTCGCCGGGGTTGACGCTATCGCTTCCGGCGGAAACAGATGGGACGATCGCCAGCGCTTGAACTTGAATGCGGTCGCAGCTGGAAGTCCAGGCCAAAACATGGACGTCGGACGCTCGCGACGATTTGGCGCGCGTCTACAATTGCAACATCACCATACATGCTGGGACAGACATACGAAAATCAACGTTATCAATTTCAGTGTAAGAGTTAAGGTCATCTGAAAATTTGGAGTACTGTGCGTGTAGCCGACTGACTCTCAGTTTGAAATCGTACAGCATGTTGGGGCCTCCGCCGACTCACTCCCTGACTAAGTATTCCCGGGTCACCATGGCTATACTCCCTCTGGCCACTAAATCCTGCTTCTACAGTGTACATTCGGACGGCACAAGACATACAGTGGTCCTATGAGGGGTATGCTTCAGTGTCCTGTTTGGTGCAGATTAGAGCTGAAAGTGAAGTCCATGTACAGCGTTCTCGCGATATACAACGCCGCAATGCCTCCCAATATCAAGCTTCTCGGCGAAGTACCGTCGAGCTTCTCGTTGACTGTCTTTCTGCGGTGGCGCTTGGCTAGCATGAGAAGCCCATCCGATCAGTTCCGCAACGTCAATTTCAATGATTCATCGAACTGTGCGTTACAACAATATGGTCAACATCGCTCTTTGCTAATCGCCTTCATGAAGAACGAGACGAGAGCCATTGTGCAACTTCTTTTTCCATACCTTTCACTGTCATCTCCATTTGGCGGGATTCCAAAGCCTCGCGCGCTATCCTCACTGTCTCTTTTCGCTCGTCGCATCCCGCTCTCTGTGTCTTTTATCAAGCGAAAGAGGGTCGTCAGCCTCCCGCATCAAAATCTGCCCATTGCATGCAGTGGGCCTTCGATCCAAAGTCGTTGGTGCACAAAAGAAACGCAATCTCAACTGGACAGCGAAAAGCCTTTCGAGGGCCGGAGAGAAGAGCAGGTCTGTCTGACTGCTGAAATATAGCTTGCCCTTGCTCATTCTCTGGGCAGGAAGTAACACAATCACCCCGTGCGCGCTGCAAGATGCGCATTGAAAGCTTTAGTGCACAATGTTTCCTTGATATATTAACTCCCAGTTGAACGGCCTCTTGCCTCTCGTAAGTAAAGAATCAACATGTTGACGTTTCCTGTTTGTGATATAATAGAACGGATACAGCGGTGGCACAAATGCGCGAGAATGGTGTACGGGAAGAGCGAACCTTCCTGAATTCAAGTCGCGTACTCTCGATCGACACCGGTCCCTGCATAATCAAAGCACTCTGCCCTTGACATGCACTTTCTCTGTTGCGAACAAGATCGTGCCGACGAAGGCACATGTCTAATGGCCTTCAAAAGACGCACACGGCGAAGAAGGCTGCCACAACAGAACGTTCTGCAGGGAATCCGATCGCTCTAGTCCAGTGATATTCTTCGGTTGACAGGGTGCCAGCGATTACGATTCCAACGAGCGCGGCAAAGCTGACTGTGAAAAGCGCGAGGCCGTTTCGTAGTCTGACAGCACAAGCTCATTCAAGGCACAAGATAAGGAACCAAAAGAAAGCGTAACCCCCGCTCTTCTGGACTTCGAGCCAGGGAAACCACGGCAGCGACAATGAACGCAAGATCTGAAGGTCCAAAATATGTCAATAGTACCTCCTTGAAATATCACAGTATCTCTCATCCACAAACCGCGGAAAGTACTATGCCAGGAACATTTGCTACCAGAACCGTCGAAGCCACGCTCCTGAGCATTCAATATCTCCTCGTCATTTGGATCGTGGAATGCGAGTACCCACTTGATTCTAAGCATGGAGAACATGAGCGCTGCCCAGATCATGGTTGTAGGGATGACGAGCAAGAACGGCCACACTTTGTCTGCGAGAAAGTTCCGCACAATGCGACTCATTGAATAGAAAACCCCATTGCAGCGTACCGAATGGACAGGGACATTGCGCGATAGATCATTGTAAGCACTCCCAACAGGCTTCCTATCTCGTGAGAAGCAGCCTCGACAGTATGTTTGTAGATCGGTATCCACTGATCCCAGCCATGATTGAGTCCAAACATTGAACATAGGAGCAGAAAAGCAAAAACAAAAACAGTGAATTTTGTACCTGGCTCTGGTGCGAGGATTCTGCGACGACAACCTGAAATCAAAGCCTGCTTTCTCAGCAAATGAACGAGGAAGCATTGTCGACCAATTTATTTCAACGGAGCCCTCCACTCGAAATACAATCATACATTTAGAAGGAAATCGCTCAAGATCTCGAAGTATCTGCCCGGCGCCTCGAAAAATGGGATGTGTGTGCAATGCGTGAGCTGAACCCACTTGACACGGGAAACACTCTGGAATATGGGTATGAAGTTGATGTCCTGTGCCTCGTCCTCCTCGGCATTGATCAGCAGCGTTGATGCCGCTATGTTATGCAACTGATCGATGCACGACCACGTTCGGAGCGTACCGACGATGTTGAACTCGGAGGGGCCAATCCTAAGATGTAAGTCGTGAGTCATGGTGCGATCGCCACTTGGGACATCGTGAAGACACGTACATGGTGCTGTAGACGGTAGGATCCTCTGACATAGCTGCGAACGATTCCAACAACAGCTCGGGCCACGGATTCATCGCGCAGACGTGCTTCTGGTAGAAGACCTGCATCCCTTCCTGGTATTCCTTGCTATCCGTCGTGCCCTCCCTCTCGTGCCGCCTCAACATCTCCCTAAGATCCTCTGGAAGCCGTTCAAGCAGCGCATTTGTGCCTTCTCCCACAACTCCATAGATGCGCTCGCGTTTCCAATGATAAGATGCTTCATGCCGGAGGGGCGACGATAGCCAGCATAGTGAGCGGCCAACATGCCGCCCCAGGAGTGCCCGAGGAGATCGAAGTTATCGCGAATTTTGAAATGATCAAGGAGATTGTCGAGCTCATCCATGAAAAGGTCCACGGACCAGAACTCCTTCGATTTATCCTTGGGGTGAGACGACTGGCCGATGCCTATCTGATCGTAGAATATGACGGGAATGTTATGGGATTTGGACAAGGAGGCATGCGGAAGCATGTAGCGATGGGAGATGCCAGGCCCACCATGGAGAGCTATTAGAGGACGGACGCCTGATTGCAGGTCACCGGCAACCTTGTACCATGTATGGTAGGTCTCGCCGCCGTAGACAAATGGAATGGTTCCTGTTATCTCAGACATGTCGGCGACCGCTGTAGGATGGGATGAGGCTGCCGAGGGAGTGCCTGCAAGCTTTTTTATAGGCAGGTGGCACGAGCTATGGCTTCGTCACATGGGGACACCGGTTCCCAAATTCAAGGTAAGACTGACCATCACCACGATGTAGAATAATCTTCGCTGAATAGTGACCAAGAAGTACGGAAAAGCGATGCGAGGGGCATTAGGTAAAGGAACGTACAAATCAGGACCGGAGCTCGGTGAATTCGGATGTATCAGAATCAGTAGATGTGTCTAACCGGAACCATCTTCTGGGTGATGTTGTACGAGATGATGACTCTAGGACAATAGAACGCTCATCGAAGACTGCTTGCCGACATCACGCATGCACCATGGCTTTGGGGACCATGTGCCTACTGTATAGCCATTTTGATCAGCAATGACTCATTTTGACTGAGAGAACGCTGCGCTTCGATCTCCGGGGAGCGGGGGTGACAAGCGACGCGCATGCCATCTTAACAAAGAGGCCCGTGACTGAAGCATCGACAACGAGCACACTGAGGAGGCTTTGTCGGCGCACGCGACAAGTAGTGGAAGTTCACGCTCAAGGGGCAATTATTACCTTCCGTAGGACCGTAACAAGCCGAAGCAGAGCATAGACCGAAATGTACAAAGATAAAGGGAACTGGGGTGCCATTGGGAATGCCCGGAGGGAGCAATCCGAGAGCACCCAGTGAAGACGTTGTGGCTGGCGCCACATTACGTAATATTCCAAATATGTACTTATATATAAAGTAATCCTAATTAGGGAGCTCGGCATATAAGCCCGAGCTCTCCTTGCCCCGCTCCATCATCCGCTCGCTCGTCCTCCCGGATTCTGGCGAACGCTACAGGTTATGAGCCCCGGCAGTGCTGTATAAACGCATCATACAGCTATCTGAGTCTACTAGCGAAAAATCTACGAGATATATATAAAAGTGCGGAATTACCCCTATGCCGAAGAACACTGACCATGCGGATTCTCACAATCCGTACTGCATGCCATACCTCACGGAGGACAATTGGCTTCCGTGGAAGAGGCATGTGCAACATGTATGGAAGAGGAAGCTGTTGGAATCTGGGCACGGAGCGCAGATGTGAGAGGCCCCGGTGTGACCTGCGCCACCGGCGTGGGAGAGTAGTAGCGTGCGTGTATATAATAGGGTGCGGCTACAATGGGACGGGCCATCGGTTTAGCCCCGTGGAGCCATCTTCTAGAGAGCGGGCGACTCCTGAATTCCTGGCCGTGCAGCGGGCTGGCTAGGAAAGTCAACACAAACCGATCACTATTGACCAAGAGGCACTCACCACAATCGACGAGAACCACCACTACGAGGTTCCTGCTGGGGACCATGATGCTGACTGGTGAGTGATCCAGTTGGCAGGTCAAGGGCTGGGAGCTGGGGCAGGTTGCCGAGGTGTGAAGGCTGCAGGGCAGCTGAGAGACAGGTGCAACCGGGCAGAGGTGGGATCAGGAGGTCGAGGGCAGGAGGGTGAGGGCCAGAGGGTTGACCGCGGGGCACTGCTGTGGTGATACAAGACACCAGGCACAGGGGGCAGGCACTGCGTGAGGCGGGCCTACCAGCGAGGCGAGGGCGGAGCAGGGCGTCAAAGGGTGGGCCGAGCGGATGCCGAGCGAGACAGGCCGGCAGTCCGACGAAGCGACACAGTCACAGCACGCGGAGCGCCGAAGAAAAGCCGAGCGAGGCGCTTGCACGGAGCACGCATGAAACGGAGATCGAGACCCGAATCCAAGGGGCATCGGGACTGGCGTGTGGACCGAGCGAGCGACGAGCGCGTGGGGGCGCTATAGGAAGTCACCGAAAATGGGCACGTACGGGATGCGTATGGTACAGAGACTGGGACCCAAGATCAGGGGGTGCCGGGACTGGTGTACGGACCGAGGTGGGCAGGGAAGCACATGGAACGGAGATCGGCATCCCTGGGGACAGGGAGTGCGGTACAGGCGTGTGGCCCACAATGGGATTGACGCAGCAGTGGCTAGGTCGAGGGGGCATATTGGAATCTGGGCATGGAGTGCAGATGTGAGAGGCCCTGGTGCGACCTGTGCCACCGGCATGGGAGAGTAGTAGCGCGCGTGTATATAATAGGGTGCGGCTACAATGGGACGGGCCATCGGTTTAGCCTCGTGGAGCCATCTTCTAGAGAGCGGGCGACTCCCGAATTCCTGGCCGCGCAGCGGGCTGGCTGGGAAAGTCAACAGAAGCATCTTACCAAATATGTGACCGGTGAGATCCCGATTCCGCAGCCCCTGCCAGATATAGTGATGGCAGAAGAGAAGGCAGCGAGGGAAGCCAAGATCGCAGATTGGAAAGACAAAGATAGTGAAGCAGCAGAGGTCATGTTGATGTCCATGGCCGACGATCAGCTCATTCATGTGAGCGAGTCGGGGACATCACATGAGATTTGGGAGAGTCTCAGGATCCTGAAGGAGAAGCCAGGCCATCACGGCCTTCTGGCACACCAGCATACGTTATATCAATCTCGAGCTCCAGATGACAAGGACATGGATGACTGGTTGAAGGAACTGCATCAGCTTCAGGAGGAGCTCCACCAGATGGGAAAGCTCATCCCGGACGACGAGTTCATTTCAATTATCCTCATGTTGCTACCAGAATCCTGGAATTCATTCACGAATTCCTATTTCGGAGCAGCAGGAGGGCAGTCCCAGTCTGGCAGTGGAACTCAGATTACGTCGCAAGATCTCATCGCAGTCATTCACGATGAGAACTGTTGCCGGAAGAGCCGAGATGTCGAGCAGGCTGCCACAGGCACATTGCAGACTCAAGCCCTCTTCACCCAGAATGCGGAGTGGAAGAAGGGCAAGGGCGTGATGAGACCATGCGGCATCTGCGGTCAGAAGAACCACATCACGCGGGATTGTAAATTCCACGGGCACCCCAAAATGAAGTGCGGAAACTGCGGAAAATGGGGGCACAAGACCTTGGAGTGCTACGCCCCCAGAGGAATCTTATCTGATAAGGCACAAGATGAGCCACCGAAGAAGAAGTCGAAGTTCGAAGCACGTGAGCGCAATGATCCGCAGATCGCTGGATCAAGCCACGCCAAGAGAGATCAGGTGAGAATTGCAGAAGATGATGACGAAAACTGTGTATCATTAGGTTCAGAAGATTCAGATGCTTCATTTTATGGTTGGTTTGCAGATTCAGGAAGCACCTCCCACATCACTTCTCGCCATGATGTTTTCCAGACCTATGAGCCCTTATGCAACCACTTAATCTCCGGGATAGGTCCAGCGCCTATCAAGGCTTTAGGCCGAGGCACTGTAGCCATCTGAAGTAAAGTGGGAAATCGCATAGTAAGGTTCAATCTTCGCAACGTGCTACATGTGCCGACAGCACCCAGCAATCTTCAATCCATTGCACGGCTTGATGAAGCCGGTGGAAGGGTACACATGGGTGACAGTCATGCACTAATCATGGATAAGCATGGTGCTACACTTGCTGTAGGTAAGAAACAAGGTCGACTTTATCAATTAAATCTCGAGCCCATTTCTACCGCTTCCAAATTAATATATGCCACGCAGGAAGACACTCCTCACACCTGGGACGAGTGGCACAGAATTTATGGCCATATTGCGAAACCAGCGCTCACACGGTTACACTGGGAGCACATGGTCGAAGGCCTAGAAATCGCGCCCAGCCCAGATAATATTGAGTGTGAAGCCTGCGTACAAGCTAAGGCCATCAGGAAGTCGTTTCCGAAAGAGGCAGCAAAAAGAGACACAGTCCCCGGAGAATTAACACACACAGATGTGTGGGGACCGGCTCCGATGACTGCCCTACAAGGATGGCGTTATTTCGTCTCATTCACGGATGACTGTACCAGATTTACTACAGTATCATTCATGAAAACGAAAGACGAGACATCCGAGAAAGTCAAATTTTATTTGACAAATCTGGACCGTTGTTATGGGACTCAGCGTCGTCAGCTCCAAATGGATAACGGACGCAAATATCTAAATAACGACTTGACACAATGGTGCCAATCCCGAGGAATTGAAACAGGCACTACTGCGCCTTATTCCCCATCCCAGAATGGAATTGCAGAATGTCTAAACTGCATGTTATTATCACGTGCACGCGCTATGCTCTACGCACATGACATTCCATGCTATCTGTGGACAGAAGCAGTGGGTCATGCCGTATACATCAAGAATCACGCACCTACGCGCGCATTACCTGACATGATGCCATACGAGAAATGGAACGCGCGGAAGCCTAACATTGCATATCTACGCGAATTCGGATCCGACGTATGGGTGCTAAATGAAGCACTTAACTTATCGAAGTTAGCGCCGAGCGCCATGAAGTACATCTTCGTTGGCTATCTCGATGGACCGCACGCCATCTGCTACTACGACGCGTCCACACACGCTGTGAAAACTTCGCGCAATTATCATTTTGTGCCCGCTTCGCAGCTCCCACTCTCTGTGACAACCAACACACTGGAGCTACAGGGGGAGTTCACGCTGGATCAAACGTGTGAGGGGGAGTCTTCCACTGAGAATGCGCCACGTTCCGATCTGAAGAAGCGAAAGCACATTGAAGTGGAAGAAGCGCAGGTACCTGAAGAACCTCGGAGATCAAAACGAAAGATCACGTGTCCGAACTGTCAGCTCCTCAATGACCCTGAGGCAGATGACGATGACATGGATGCTGCTGCATCTGCCGAAGTAATCTACCAGGCAATGTGCACTTCTATGGATCCAGATGAGCCAAAATCATTACAGGATGTGAAGAATTCACCGGAATGGCCCCATTGGGAGCAAGCAGTGCAAGCTGAGATGAAGCAACTGCATGATATAGGGACATGGGATCTTGTAGATCTACCCCCAGACTGCAAAGCGGTAGGCAACAAATGGGTCCTGATCAAGAAGACCAACAAGGAAGGTGAGGTAATCAAATACAAGGCACGTCTAGTGGCAAAAGGCTACTCACAGATCCCTGGCATGGACTACATGGAGACGTTCTCGCCCGTGGTCTGCCTTGAGATGATACGAGCTGTCCTAGGGCTAGCTGCAATCCTCGATTGGGAAATTCAACAGATGGACGTCAAAGGCACCTATCTAAATGGAATCCTGAAAGAGGAGATCTATATGCGCCAGCCTGAAGGGTATGCAGACCAGACGCACCGTGTATGCAGATTACACAAGACCCTCTATGGACTCAAACAAGCCGGGCGTGAGTGGAATATTCAACTTAACCATGAGCTAATAAATGCGGGTTTTAGGCGATTATTCTCAGATCCTTGCGCATATATTCGGATCAGAGGTGGAAAAGTAGAAATCGTTACCGTATGGGTAGACGATCTACTGATATTCACCAATGATCCTAATATTATGGGTCATCTGAAGCATGAACTTCAGACCATGTTTGAAGTCACTGACCTTGGTGATCCAAAGAAGATCATCGGGATAGAAATTGAGCGAGATCGTGCAAAGCGCACGATTAAAATCACTCAAAATAAATATATTGTTTCTATCCTGCAAAAAGAAGGGTTAGCGAACTCAAATGCGGTAGGCATGCCTCTTGATCCGAATATTCCCCTTGAGAAGGAGGAAATTGGGATCGATGATGTGCAAAACTGTAGCAACGGATATGCATCACTCATCGGATCTCTAATGTATGCTGCTGTGGCAACG